TCTGGTGAAGAAGGAAAATCAGTGGAGCTGTACAATGGAAAGTAATGGCCGGCCGCATGTCGGCAAGCCAGAGTGGAAAGGCTGCCACCATCTATGAGCGACGGCGGCAACCAGATACGTCGCCATCGCTCATAGATGGCGGTAGGTGTCTAGAGTTTGGTGTCTTCAATTCTTTGCGGGGAACACAATCCTGAGGAAACTAGCCCTTAATAGCTCAGCTGTAAAAATACCTTGAAGTCTGCAAAATATTCTCCCCAGTACAACTGTCGCTGCATTATGAACAAAGTTCCGTGTTTTCGGGGTTTATTTTTTCCCACAGATTTGCGGTTTTTCAGAATCAGAGTTTGTTATTGGACGAAATATCAGGGTTTGTCTGGACTTATGCTGAAGGAAATAGGGCACGGGCACGGGATTCCCCAACTTGCAGGAGACATCGCGTGACCCGAAACCTTGGAAAGCATCCCCGTCCCAATAAGAACAAGCATTGATATGTGTGGTTCTGAAGCAAGGAGCGGTCTAGTGGAGAGTTCTTAGTGGGGACTGCATTATAGGCCAATGCAAAATGAAGCTTTAAAAAGGGTTTCCTTCTCGCCAAGCTTGGGGTTTTTATTATTGAGGACAGCTCCAATGCAGGGTTTGTCGGTTTTTCCCGATCTCAATAAACCCACATCAGGGGTTAATTTTCGAGGTTTATCTGTATTTACCGAAAACACAGAAACCTAATTATCGATTACTTACAACATGCACGTTGCAATCCCTTAGCAAAAGCGATAGGGCGCGCTGCTCGGCGAGCCATCCGAGCCACAAGGTCTTGTACGAGCATGTGTAAATAATCGAAGAAAGGAGGCATTCTCGTTATTATTTTTGCATTTTCTTGGGCGTAATGTGTTCTTAGCCACAGGTGTTTGTTTCTCTCGCAAGCTGTGGCCTTTTGATCTGTGCCTTCTTAGCTTTGAATGCCGACTCTCGGTGCCTGTGAAGGGAAATGGTCATCGAAGACATATAAAGTGCGAAGGACAGACGAGGATACGAAGAACACGGTTGCTCGGCTAGGGAGCTTTGTGGCGCCGTCTTACCTTACAGTAAATACATACAACACGGTGCTAGCATCAGCACTAGGAACCATGCTGATGCAGCACTTACTTAGACCTAACTTAGTACTGAAGCAGCACCCAGTTCAGCACAGTATCGCTGCTATGCACTGATATAGTGCGAAGTCGGCGCGGCATCTGCATAAAGTTAGCGTTATTTATGGCACTGTCCGATAGTGCCGAGGTCCTTCAGTTGGGAGTTTGGCCAAAAGACTCGTCCCCCTCCCCTCTAAAGGCTGAGCGCTGTCACCTTCCCTCCTCAGCCCTCCTGCTGGGGCTGCTGTGGAGGTGTGCCGGACAGGGCTCAGAAGTGTTCCTGGACGGGTCCTCTCGGCTGGTGCTGAATGCGACGGTGTACCCCCGGGGGGCGACCTCTCTGGCCTTCCGCACCTGCGGCCCCGGCAGCCTGCTCCGCCAGGGAGGCCTGTCCCTAGCCCTGCTGCCCCAGGGGGCCCTCGAGCTGCGCTGGAGGGATGCCAAACTGCCCCAGGATGCCCTGGTCCAGGTACCGGCGCTGTGCACCTTTCAAGGAAACATACTAAAAAAATGAAAGCCATTTACAACTCGCTGTAACGCCGAATTAGAGCACAGCTCTTGAGGAGGAGGAGGTGAAGGGTACCGAGGGGAAGGTATATCCTTCCTCCCTCCTCCTCACCTCCTCATCCTGTCTGCTACTCCTCCCTCCGAGCGGCGTCGCCTCACGAGGGTCACGTGACCTCACGGGGGTCACGTGACCTCACGGGGGTCACATGACCTCAGAGGGGTCACGTGACCCCTATGAGGTCACGTGACGATGACGTCATCATCACTAGTGACATCATCAGTGACGATGACAATGCCGATGACGTCATCAGTGACATCAGTGATGACGTCATCAGGGACGATGACGATGCAGATGCCGATGACGTCATCAGTGACGATGCCGATGACGTCACTGATGACGTCATCGGTGACATCACGCGTCCCATAATTCACGCGCGGTTACGGCGACGCCGCTTAAGCCGGGAACGGCGCCTAAGAGCTGCGCTCTAAAAAAATGGAACCCCCCCCCTCCCCCAATATTTTTTTTATCACAGAGTGTGTTATATAGTTATCTTCATTACATAACCAGTGTCAGAAGTCGTTAAGCCTACTGCCAGCCGAACAATGATGCATCGCTCGTCTACTCAGCGATTGGATAACAGTGCCAGCCGAACGTCTTCTTTGAGTGCATTCATGTTACTTTTGCTGCAAGAAAAACGTTGCGTGTTCAGATACGCAGCGGTGCTCTGCTCTGCGAAACGAGCACGCTCCAGGCTTCCTCAGGAACCAAGCGCGAGAGAGAACAACAAAAAAGCTGAGAACAAATGGCAGATGCTCCGTTAGACATTCTCACTTTGCCGCGACGATGGCAACTGGCTGAAGTATGTCCGAGCGTTCGGTCCTCTTTTGCCGCGAGCTGGTGACAGAGCTCGGCTCGGCGCCGCCACGTTTTAATTGTTCCATTCTCTGCGCGCTCTGCATACTGCATCTCGTGCTACAACACATTCCGAGAAAGTCACATTTACGTTGCTGCTGCAGAAGATACAACCAACTTATTATTCGTGTCATCTAGTCTCCATGCGTGTACACAGTTTCTCCACACTAACGCATCATGTCCTGCGTTACCATCGCATTTGCCGCGCTGGTATGGCAAAGGGTCGATTTTTTTTTTCAGTGCCTAAATAAAAACACGTATTTTGCAAAACAAGATCCCCCCAAATGATTAGCGCAATACCGTCGTCGTGAGATGCATTTGAGCGATCCCAAAACACTAGAGGTGTGCGAACGGCAAAATTTCAAATCGAATCGAATTTGATTGAACATCTCTGAACAGTAGCCAAAAAGTTGGAATGTCAATGTGAATAGCAAAAGTTTTGTTCGCGAGACTGTAATTACCGACAGGATAAGAACGGTAGGGGGTTTCTTTTGGACTTGTTTCCTTTCGTCATTCTTTGGCTGTGTGTGCTCGCTCGAGGCTCACCAGGTGCCTAAGTGTTATTGACGGTAGGAAACTCATTCTGGAGGTGGGACAACCAAAGGACGTCCCTGTCCCTCTTATCTTGTCAGTGACTGTAAAAAAAAAGCAGCACGGACGAGAAAAGAGCCCTATGTGTTTATTCTTTTGCATGGCGTAGTGAATGAAGAAAGGCCAGCACAAATAAAAAAGGTTTTAATGACCGCACATAAATAACAGGCTTGAGGCACGGCTGATAGATTTTTTTTTTTTCGTCCATCCCTGTGCTAGACGAATGAGCAGATGTGGCTGAATTGCTCGAATCAGCGATGACTAACAATGGTTTGTTGGCGTTGACTAACAATGGTTTGTTAGTCAACGCTTCTGAACACAGGCTTGATTTGAATTCAATGCAGGCACGTGAGGACTATTTCTCCGCACGACCAGCATTCTTTATTAAACCAGTATGACGTGCAGCCTCGTGCGCCGTGTTTAGTTGGAAGTCTGGGACCACTTTTGGTGCTGGGGCAGAATAGAATGCTAAACGCTCCAGTTGAAGTTGCGTAGAGGCGCAATGTATACTCGCACTCTCTGCGGCCCAGTACGAGGTGACATAGGTGACGAGTGTCTCCCCTTTGATTATAAAACAGTACATAAAAAGCATGGACGAAAGGAAACACGTACAACAGACGAGCATATTTGTCTTCTTTTTTTTTTCTCCAGTTTTTCGCGCGCTCTGTTTTATAATAAGTCGGCACCAACTGGCGCAGTTCTCAACACGTTAATGGTGCCCACTTGTCCCCAGGTGGGCCTGGACCTTCGAGACAACCGGTGGCACTGGGTGGAGCTGCGCTATGAGATGGGCTCCCTGCGACTGCGTTTGGACGCCAGTACCGACCGCCTGGTGGCCAGCGCAAGCGTGCGTCCCCGGCTGCTGAACCTGACACCCTCCCCGCCGGTGCTGATGGGGGAAAACTTCACGGGGTGCCTGCAGGGAGGGGCCGGCCTGCCCCTAGGGGCCCCACGCACCGTGGCCGACGGGGCTGCACAGTGGGGGCCCTGCCCCCTGCCGGACACTGGACACTGCGGTGAGGACGCTCGGCGATGTGGAAGAACGGCCTCTCTGTGGCTGCCAGACATAGTGTGGGTGGCACAGAGAATTTCCTGTTGTAAAACAACCTGGGAAAATTGACGCCAGCACATAGAAAGCTCCAAGTTTTACCGAATTTGTATTGGGCGGGGGTGAGTTTTACTTCAAGAAATGTCCAGACGTAGCTTTCTTCCTCTAGGAAATGATACCTAGAAGCTTGTCATAGTCAATAGTGGACGTGTTCGCAGACGACCAAGTTAGCAAGGAATGTAACTTGTGGCTCTATTTCCTGAAAGGCGCGGTGAGCAGACAACGTGCCTTGTTGTCTGGTCGCTGTGCCTTTCTGGAGTTTTTGTTGTGGGGAAAATGCTTAGCAACAAAACTACTTGTCACATTACGTGAAAAACAAGCGGTGTCGGTGTTGTTGTACCTGAAAGATAGATGGCCATAAAATACGTCGTCAAGCGTCATCAGCCTGATGTCATCAAGCTTAATCATACGTCATCAGCGTGATGTCACCACCAGAGCGCCGTGTTCAAAAGGTGCACTTCGGACTTCATCTGTGCTTGTTGTGTGCTTCGTGCAACTTGGTGTCGATCTCTAGGAAGTTCTCCTCGACGTTGTGGTAGATGTCATTCTAAACTTTAATATGTGTAGAAACATTAGCCGAAAGTATTTCTCTCGCGGGACTATAATGCTTTTGCCGCCTTCCTACACGTAAGCAATGTTAAGTGTACTCATGTAATTTTTAAGCGCGAGCGTTGCAGAAGCTACGAGAGCGAGCTTTGGGGTTTTGGCGTCCCCGAAAGCACGCCCACTCGTGCAGTGCAGGCGTTGTTTCGGGCAACGTGCTCGTGCTTGTGACTCCGGCTTCACTCGCACATAAAGAGAAAGAGAGTATGGAGGCGCCCAGCTCTACTGCCCGGGATGGTTGCGGCAGCCGGGTGAGTGGGGCATCCGCCGAGCGGGGTTCCTGGCTCTGTGCAGATGGGTACGGCGTTGACCCCTGCTGGAGCCACGTGTGCCAGCACGGTGGCGTCTGCGTTCGGGACCCGGGACCCCGCTGCCGCTGCACAGCCAGGTACTCTGGGAAGCACTGTGAACTGGACAAGGGTGAGTGCCGGATGTCGGTCCGCTTCTCCTACTTGTTCTTGCCTTCAGTGCTGTTTGTGCTTTGCCCTCTGATTGCAAAGTGGGATCCTTGCCTGTCTGTTCATTAGAGAAATTTGAAGGGTGTTCTGCTGTGCTCGTCAACCGCTTTCTCCGCCAAGGTACACTTTGCAAAACTTTTAACATGAACGAACGATGGGCATTTTGTTTTCCTGTTGTTTTCCTAGAATCAAGAGGCTGTCATCGAAACTACTACGGTCTGTTCCAGGTTTAGAATAACAGGACAATGAATTTTACCGCACGCCACGATGGGTGGATTCTTCCTCTCCACTGATCTGTTCTCCATCATTGGGGAAAAGGGAAAGAGTGGAGGGCTTTTGGGGCGGAGCTTGTCTTGCTATTCTTAACCTTAAGTGCTCATTCAATGCACCAATATAAGCGGTAAAATGCAGGGCCTACCCTTGTAATGTAAACTGAAAAAGTGCCTATGTAGTGTTTGCACTGGCAGTGTCACGCAGTGTACTTGCACTAGTTGTAGGCACCTTGTGTTCTTACATCTTAATTTCCAATTGAAGCTATGTGTGCAGTCTGCAAGAGGTTATTTCGAAGTATAGAAATGACTTTTTGGTATGTTTATGTTTTGGTCCAAACGCCGCGTAAGCATGAAATATGTAGGTCGGTCAGTCCGTAACTGCTAAACAATCTTGGAAAAAAAAGGAAACCAGTGTTAGGGATTAAGCCGAGTCACCGGTGTGGAAGCCAAGTGAACTCTTGACTGAGCTATTGACCTAGCATGCAGGAACGGGAGGAGCAGAAGTAGGTGGTGTGAGAAAGCTCGCAGTGCAGAGAGGGGTGGAGAGGGCAAGAAAGAGAAGAGCGAAAACAGGTGGTGTAGAGAGAGTGCCCGGAATGAGGAGGGTTAGAAAGGGCTTGAAAGCACGCTTCCCCTCCCTTGGTGACCCAGAGAATTTAGCGGAAAGGCTTTGTGTCTGAGTGGTGCTGAAGTGAAACGCGCGCATCGTTGCAAAGAGACAATGGTGCAACATAATCTGTTTCCATACAAGACCCAGCCCTAGACACCACCTGAACGAACTAAGAGCACCACTTACCCCAGGCACTGAAAGACTGAGGGTCATCCTGTCCCTGGCACCACCCGAACTAAGAGCACCACCCACCCTATAAAGCTACTGCATTGAAGAACATTTGTTAGAATGACCAAACATGCAGCCAATTTTTACTGTGACGTAGGTTTCCAGACGGCATCTGCACAACGCGCATACTGCCTGGCTCCTCGAACCTTCTGACGGTGTTTTCTTGCGGTGTTTAGAGATCCTTTAATATGTAAGAGTTTAAACTTTCTGAAGGAGACTCCTCGTCTATTGCCCTGTATGGGCTACAACGATCGTGGTAAAAACACTGAATGATAAAGAGTGTAAGATTGCCACTGTTTCTCAACAGGTTACTGCCGAAAGCACCGATAGTTCTTCCTCAGTTTTTGTCCGGACATGATACAGATATGGGGCATGTGTAAAAAGAAGCATAGGGATTGAGCCATCCTACGATGTCTTCCGAGCTGGACCGAGTGTGCCATGCGTCAGTACAAGACCGTTGTCCAATTGGTGTGGCGTTTGCAGGCCCCCTGTGCGGTCGGCCTGGCTTGGCCCCCTGCGCGAACGGGGGCTCGTGCCGGGAGGACTGGCTGGGCAACGCCACCTGGTGCCAGTGCGCCCCCGGCTGGACGGGGCCCTCCTGCCAGCAGCTGGCCCAGAGCTGCTCGACAGACGTGCCCTGCTCCCATGGTGGGGCCTGCCTCAACGCCTCCTGCGTCTGCCCCAGCGGTGCGTGTCCCGTCGCCCTCTGTTCCCAAATCTTGTGTCGCCCGATGTCTTAAAGGGGTGGTGCAACGTTTTTTCAAACTTTGTGTAATTAACTGCAAAATGAGTCTGTCACCCACGTGGAACATTTAAATCATGTTGCGGAATGAACATGGTTGCATAGAGCGACCTAATGATTTCAGTAAAGGTGGCAGCTGAGGGTTGGTTTAAGCTATGGGCTTGCATGGAGAAAATCCTGGAGTGCATATGTTAGGGAAACATAGAAAAGACGATATGGCCAGGCGTCGTCAGTGAAAGGTCACATACACATACTGTATACATACAGAAATACTAACGGGCACATTCCCGTTGAAAAGGAAAGTGTATCCATAGGCTTTCACCAAACTCCTGTGAAGGGAAAATCCGTTCTCAGGAGCCTTGTTCTCAGGAGTCACGTTCCATCGGGTAACAAGGCTGCATCAAATCCTGGCAGGTGACGTGGTCATGCCACATGGTCTCTGGTCATGTGAATATCTGTCACTTGACGTTATCGAGCCACCTAACACCCCGGTGTCGCACGGTGGAAGTTCAAACGAGATTACGTGTTTATGTGGTCACAAGGTGTCGGATGCACGCTCTGTGCGTGATGTTACCTCTCTTTTCAGAATTGCTCCCAACCAAAAAATGAATTTTGTCTTCCTAATATCTCTGCATTGGTTTCTGCAAACCATTGATTTAGAGATCTCGGGGAATGAATGGGAGGGGGGCGGGGCTGTGAAAGACCCAAACGCCCCGGGTGCCGGACAGCCTAGCTACGCCATTGGGTGTGGGAATATGAGTAGCATGTAGAAGCGGGCTTGCCCCCGTTCCCTTGTTGAGAGGTGGTGACCACTGGCTGCAGGCTTTGCTGGAAGCCTCTGTGAACTGGACATTGGGGAGTGCCAGCTGATGCCTTGCCGCAACAACGGGACCTGTACCCAGGGACCGGCAGGGCCCCTCTGTGACTGCCAGGGCACAGGTATGAAGGGAAATCTTCCCCAAAACTTGGATGATCTGGAAAATGTTTGTTTTTGAATGCGATAGCATTATTAAGCTACTCATCTCAGATTTCTGTCTATCTGGTATCTGGCCTCCTAATGTGCGGTAGACCATTTCAGCTCACTGTGCTTGCACCCCATTGTGCCGCGCGTATCTGGAGCGGCAGTACACACTTCTTCACATTCGCACCCTCTTCAAAGGGCTTATTGACCTTGACATTGTCCTCGATGTCGTCCAAGGGGTCGTCGTTGAGGTCATTCTTGAGATCACCCCAGAGGTTGTCCTAGATGTCGTCTTTTGACATTGTCCTTGACGTCGTCCTCGAGGTCTTCCTAGAGGTCACACCAGAGATACTTCAAGATGTTGTCCTCGACATTGTCCTAGATGCCGTTCTTGACGTCGTCAAGGACGACGTTACGAGCATTGCCTAGGACGACCTCAAGGACGACCTCTAAGGTGATCTCAAGGACGACAAGTATTTATTGTTGTCCTAGAGAACGCTAAATACTTGTCGTCCTTGAGATCACCCTAGAGGTCGCCCTAGACGTTGTTCTTAATGTTGTCCTTAACGATGTCAAAGACGGCCTTTAGGACAACATTGAGGACGACATCTAGAACAATCTCTAAAACGACCTCTGTACCAACCCCATTTAGCTGCGAGTTTCCCTGCTAAATTTAGCGGAAAAATTGACGTCACAACCTATGCACCGGCTCATTCTCCCCACTAAATTTGACAGTGTGCAACAATAAATGCTATCGTATTATAGATAATCAGCCCTATGGTTTCTACAGCTTTGCCTCGACCATCAATTTGCTACCCTTTAATTTTTTTGTGTTCAAACACACAATGCAGGGCTAACTTAGCGCTAGCGCAGAGATGATGTGGTGCTCACTTAGGTCTACAGCATGTAAACTAACGCTTTTAAGGCACTTTAAATGGCACGCAAAAATTATGTTTTTTTGTTTTCAGGAAAACCATATATTTTAGGACGAAGTAAAATATTCACACTAGCGATGAGAAATTTGTTTTAAGTATATCATAATAAGGAGCTAATAGTAAAATAAGACAACCATTCAGTAACTTTAGTAACTGAACAGGTATCCCAAATCCAGTTCCCCATGTCCTGTACCGGGTAAAGTCGATATCCGAGAATGCTTGGTGGAATTCCTACATAATATGCATAATTTGAATTGGTGCATAAATTAACATAACTAGACTAGCTGAACCATTGCATATCTCTCCATCAAATAAATTCCTCTAAATTCCTGCTAAATTTAGTGAATAAGGTGAAAAGTAAAGTGTAAAGTCTTTGCACATTATGCTTTGTGCAATATGCTTTACGTATTGTGCTTTGCGCATTTCGCCTTAACACGAAGGGTGCCCCAGATCGAAAATCGCAACAAGGCAACATTAAATCCCCTGCAGCCGATTGCATTTCTGTTAGGGCACAACTTCTAAACTAGCTTCATGAAAATATCCTGTTCTTCAATGCAGGAGCAAGTATTTAAGGCTTACTTTGCGTTTCCAATCGATGCATTAGACGCCGTCGGGGGGGAGCTGCGCCGACGACCGTCAGATGCTGTTTGAAATCGAAGCGTCATCTGACTGTTTCATGAAGACCACCTGGGTCAAAACAGTGGCAAGAGCTGAATGGGCCGTTTTTCATTCGCTGCGTCGTAGATAGGTGGCCAGGCGTGACTTGCGCAGGAAAGGGAGTACACCGAGTGATATCTCGAGTTTCAGCCACGTTGACACAAGCGCGGAAACCCCATAAAAGCCCTCGCAGACCGTCCCGGCCCACCCTTCGAGGGCAGCCCTTGTACGACGTGCATTGCGGTGAGGCATCGCCCTCAGCAACGATACGGTATGGTTCCTGGAACGCGTCGTTTAGCGATCTTGAAGCGGCAACAAATCATGTCGCGGGAGCACGGATGTTAGATGTCACGATTCCGGTCGTGGAAGTTACGGCAGAAAGCACGAGCGTATGTGAGCGGCGCCGTCGTTGTGGCATCCCAACTCGCAGCTGCCGAACCTTCCGTGGACTGTCAACGTAGAGAGCGACCTACGGCAGAAAGGGCATCTGCTGTGTCCACCTCCGCCGTCGTGCCACCCCTAGGGTCGCGGCAGGCGACAGAACGGCGCTCTTAGTACGTTGTCGGATGAAAATTGATGGACTACAAATGAGGACGCAGCAAACATACTGCTCGGACACGTGTTTCGGGCAGCATGGCGACAGGTGTCGGTCGTTTCCTCCCTCTTGTGCAGGTTTCGAAGGTCCTCGGTGCGAGCGGGACGTGGACGAGTGCCTGGAGAGCCCCTGCCTGAGCGGCAGCACCTGCTTCAACCGCTGGGGCTCCTTTGAGTGCGCCTGTCCCCGGGGGCGGGGGGGCCGGCACTGCGAACGGGACCTCGACCCCTGCGAGTGGGGCACGCCCTGCCACGGAAACGCCACCTGCATCGCCGCCTCTGGCAACGGTGAGCGCACACTCCGGTTGTTGTAGATCCCACCGGCCGTCTTTATGCCCCAACTTACTATGGGTTGGGGTCCATGGTACTTTGCATGTTCAATGTTCCGCATGAGCCTTTAGGACACTATGAACGTGTAAATATAGATACATACTATGGGGGTTTGTGAATTCATAGGGGCACCCCTCTCTGGGCTACCTGCCCACATGGCGGTTGCCTGCGACCAATGGCTACGATTGCATTTAAGGAATGAGAAAACGAGGCACTGCCATTGGGAGAGAGGAAGGAAGGGGGTCATTGCTGCTTTTCAGAGCCCTTCTGAGCCACCGTGGCTCGTCCCGACACACCACATCGCTGGTGTGCTTAATCGTTTTCGGAACGTCGACTACTACTGTGCCTCCGAAATTCGCAGCTCTGGTCCTTGGTGACCATGTGCTCTTGTTGTTGAACGAGAATTGGTGTTAACTGTTGCGGTGTTCTCATTCGCTGCCCGCCTGAGAGGAGCTGGGGTCATTGAAGTACTATATTTATTAAAAGCCGATGTTCGAAGCTTGTGCCACCATGGCTGAACTGTAGTGTGCTCTAGCCAAGTGCCTCACGGTCCGTGCCCAAGGCACTTGGTCCATGGTGTTTGAGACAGGGCTTGGGATGTCCTGGCCAGAGTCTGTTTTCTGTATTGCAGAATACAGATGCCAGTGTGGACCGGGGTTCTCTGGTGTCCAGTGCGAAGTGCCCCCTGATGGATGCCTGCATGGGAGCTGTCCCAACGATTCCCATTGTGTAGGTGGCCTGCACTGTGCCTGCAACAGTGACTTCATCGGTGAGTGAGCACTTTCTCGGGGTGAGAGGCCCGTTGATGCCGGGGTACCGCTTTTGGTTGGCACAAGGGCGGGAGCCGGATCTAATTTGGCTCTCATAGAGGAATGGCGAGATCTAATTTGGGTCTCGCAGAATGCGAGCGAGATCTAATTTGGGTCTTATGCCGCAATATCTAATTTATCTCTCATAAAGCAGAGTGAGATCTAATTTGTGTTTTACGGAGCAAGAGCAATTTGCTGTCATTGGGCGCGTTAAGTCTGTGCTCTTTTGCTCCTACTCCGACGCTCCATGTTTCATACTTAGAGCACAGCAACTAAACGGAGCATAACATACAAAAGTGCAACGCACCGTAACTATAGACTAGCTGCATGAGTCACTTCTGACCTCACGGTTATGACAAACCCGGCGTCTCATGGAAACGGGTGGCAGAAGCCTAAATTATTTCGAAGATAAATTATTAAGTTCTGTGTGCAGTGGCCGAGTGTAAAGCAAAAAAGACGGTGACGTTTTGAAGTTTTTATGAACGTTTTAATATTTCTGAAAGGTTTAAAGACTCGCTTCTAGCTCATGTGGAAAGTTACCTTGACCGATCTATTTATTCACCATGCATCCTGTTCAGATTTAAATGAAAGGCAACATTCTTGAACTCGCTCGTCGACGCAGGAAACTGTCAAACTTGTCAGATGTTCCGTGACTTTGTCCTGCAGTGCGAGATGGAACTTGTTGATGTGCTATATACAGGCACACCACCACTCAGTACATGGCATATCAATTCATTTTCAGGCGAGATGCATGAACAAACCTCCTCTGCAACGCTAACTGAAGTTTCGGCTTTTCAATCTGAGTATTTTTATTCATCTCGACAACTTTTCTGTCTCTGTGCTATCGGCACGCTCCCGTTCAATAGAGGAATTTGTTTTCACGCGAGATGCACAAAGAAACCTTTTCCGGAATACTAATTGCTATCTTGACTTTCAAATCAAATTGTTTTTACCTGCTGGATTAAGCACTGTTCTACTGAAAAGAGGCAGCGGTACGACTGTGCCCCTCGTCTTGACAATTTTTCTGTCAGTGCAGCGATCTTGTTTGTGGACGTGACGTCACAGAGCACAAAAAAGTCACTCGTGCTCCGAGAAAAATTTGGTGCACGAAGAGCAGGCTCGAGTGTCACTCTGTTGGCGCTCCTGTCTGTTCAGTGAACAGAGTGCCAAACTCTCATGCTCCGGAGCACGGACTTAACCCGCCCAGTGGTGAAATCCAATTTGGGTTTCACGAAACAATATGTAATTTGCCTCTCACAAAGAAATGGTAAGGTCTAGTTTTGGTCTCATGGAGTGAGAGCAATATCTAACTTGGCTCTCAATAGTGAGATCTAATTTGGATCCCATAGAAAAAGAGCAATATCTAACTTGGCTTTCAGTGGTGAGATATAATTAGGGCTCCGTGTTTTCAGATAAATCCGAAAAACTCCGAAAAAAACCCGCCGGTAAATATTTTGTCAATTCGGATTTATCCGATTAACTCCGAATGTTTTGTTTTTGTTTAGCACGGAGTCAATGGTCCTGTGAAAATGGCACCATAATTGTCTTTCAAATCTCAGACCGTTGTCAAAAGGGGTCTTGCCGCTTGTCTCGTCGAGGTTGATTCGAGGCAACAGGTCATTGAACATTCGGGTCGTGACAAAAGCCACTGTTTTGGTTTCCAGTTGGAGCCATCCGATTTGTGATTTAAAGAAAGGAGAAGTTATGTTTTTGTAACAGTGAAAGCTAGGGACCATAGAGATTGCATTAAATAGGGAAGAGGGTACAGTTGAAACTTCTCTATTACATCCTTAACCACTCCACCTCGCGCGGCCGCGGGATAGATTGGTGGGATGACTACGAGCTTCCTTGCGGCTACCTCCGGCAGTTTATTGATTTTAAGTTATCGACGTTTATCGAAGCCACACTTGTGTGCGACTTTTGTCGTGGCAGGAATTAATAGTGCCAATGGCAATGGCACGAACGTCAAATTCAACTGAAGAAATTTTAATCGATACAAGCGCGTGTTATTTTTTATTTGGCATACGTTTACATCCGGTTATTATTTACATATTTATTTTTAATGGGAAACACTGTGAAATTAAACTCCGAATTTCGGAGAATTGGCAATCAAACAAATGTAAACTCCGATAAACTCAGAATCTTCGGCAAAAAAAAAACTCCAAAAAACACCCTCCGATTTTGACGAAAAATAAACTCCGAAAACACGGAGCCCTAGATATAATTTGGACCTCCCGACAGAAATCTAATTTGGCTTCACATAGCAGTGACGAGATCTAATTTGGATCTTATGGAGCGAGAGCAATTTTTAACTTGGCTCTCACTGGTTGGATCTAATTTCGGTCTCACGAAACAAAATCTAATTTGGCTGCCATGAAACAATGCTGAGGTCTATTTTAGGTCTCATGGAGCAAGAGTGATTTCTAAATTGGCTCTCAATGGTAAGATCTAATTGGTCTCATGAAACAATATCTAATGTGGAATTGTGTAACATTCCAGATAGATATTTGGATACTAAATTTCAGAAAATCACCTATAACTTTTGAATAAGATAACGATTAATGCTGAAACTTTAACTTCTAGTTCGAACCTCTAGTGCTAAGTTTGGGCAGAGAATGAGCATTCAGCATTCTATAGTTTATTTTTGCGGTGAAAAACCCCCGTAATGTTTTTGGGGGACATTCTGTATATGGTACACCTTTGCCCAAAGGCTTCATGGCACAAGAGCTCGTCTTTCGAGCTTCCCTGCATACTCCCAAATTAAAATAGACTTTTTCAACGGGCTGTACACAGCATGGCATTTGAGTTCATTTCGTCTCTTGGGTGAGAACAGTTTGAAGTTCAAACTGGGGAAGCCGTCAGATGTGCCAGTGCTCAGAAAGTGCACTTGAGACGCGTGCTGTCGTCTTAGGAGTCAGTTAGGGAATTTCGATAAAATATTAGGGAAAACCCGGGAAGGCCAGGGAATTTGAAAACATCATTTTGGTACTGACTGACCAATGCCACCTAGATACAAGATCACTATTCCTTCCCCACAGCACTAAACATAACACTAAGCCTGCGTTACAAATCTTAGTTAAGGAGACGCGAGTTACTGCCATGGGTCATATCACCTGATAACGCAGACGACTCTGGATGGGAGTAGGTTTTCAAACGACAAGGTACAAAACCCTTACTCGAAAGTGAGATCGAGTAAACTTTGGAACATGACCTGAATGGCTAGGCACCGCCGGCTGTTGGTGGCGTCAATGATGGTAACAAATGCGAGAGAAGGGCCGAATCAACAGGTGCGCCGTTAATGAACCTTCTGTTCTTTGAAGTGAGTAAGCTGGCCCAATCAGTACCTAGGCGGTGTTGGCTGACATCACTATCTTACTGGCATCAGGGTAAAACCACTTCGGGTAGCTTTTTCATAGGAGGTTGTAGGTGCCCCTGCGTGTCTTGTGTCTCGAACAGAGCTAATGTCTGTAGGCAGTTGATGAGCTAGCATTACAGGGGGTCAGTTGAGTGTCCTGCTCCTTCCTTGGTCTGCCAGATTTGGCAGTAGAGGTTGGCATTGAATTTGCGGAGTGGTTCTTCCTCTCTATATATTTTTATTAGTCATGTATCATTATGCTTTGAAAGACGTGGAACTCGTTGAACAAAATCTATTCATGGGACGCGGCGTGCTCCTATTTTATAACGTGCATATTGTATGTTATTTATATGGAATGTTGGATGGATATTGCAGAGATTGTAAGAAAACATGAGGAGCATCTCTATCTTTTCAAAGTGGGTTATGTCGGCTACCCCATACAACTTGCCTGCACCCAACGATCAACAAGTGATCGTTGGGTGCATACTCTTTCCTAGGATCTGTCACCCTGCCAGTCTCAAATCAGTGGAATAACTGACCTTAAAGGACAGTGGAATGAAGGTTGGGTCAGTTATTAGGTCACCATGGATTGTCACAATGTCTCGGTTCTGCTCAGGTTAGAGCTGGACCACAGTGTTTGAATTCACACTGGTAGCCGTTATTGCTCGGCTCTTGCGTAAGAAGCGAGAAAATTTTGCTTGAGAGCAATTAAACTTTTGTCATCACACGGGGCACTGGTGTAGCAGGATACAAAGAAAACGAAAATTTCCGGGTGATTACGTTTAAGGTCACTCATACTTTGGCTCGTGTTTAGACTTGTTCGGGATTTGCAAGCACTGTGGCATTATGATAAGTGCGAAATGTTACAAGGGTGTATACAAATTGTAAATTAAACTTTTATCTCCTTGTCTTCCTGAAGTGTTTTTTCCACCAATATTCACCATTTCTTGCTTTCGTTCGAAACTAATCATAGAAATAAACCTCCGCCGATGATACACGTAAATAGGCACCAGAAAATCTACGGCCTAGTTATCTTCGAGTCATTGCCAAAGATGCCCTTAGCCCGGCGAAGAATCCTTGGCTGCGGCCGACCGAGGTGCAAAGTGTCGCTGCTGGGAGGCCGGCCTGACGAGCAGGCTCTCTTTTGCAGGAAAGTTCCCTTTCTGCGAGCCCGTGAGGAGCTGCGAGGTCGATACCTGTCTGCTGGGGGCCACCTGCCAGGAGCGACCTGATGGAGGCTACCTCTGCGTCTGCCCGCCGGGCTGGACGGGGACCCGGTGCGACCGGTCGACCGACCCCTGCGCCGCTGGTCCCTGCCGCAACGGGGCCACGTGAGCTGCTCTTCCTCCGTGCTTGGGTCCATATTCTGTGTCCGACATAGTTCTGACAAGCTGACAAGGCAGTGGAAGCTACATGCTCGTTGGATCATGTCTGTCTTGCACCTCTCTGCGCACACTGTCATTGCGCAGAGAGTGGGATCGGGCGATACAAGGCAGCCAATTGATTGGTCTGGCAAGAATGAGGCTTCCCCTGCCGTGTGGGTTTAACACTGAATGGAGTGTAGAAAAGAGCCCCTGAATTTACCCTAAAGTGTAGATTTTTTTAGATAACTGAGACTGCATGAAACAATATTTTTGTGTCAGTATTTAAATGTTCGGAGGGAAACATATATTGTATGTGATTGACGATGCGATTCAATAAACTCTCGCTGCTCTGGAAGTGCCAGAAGTTCTTTCTGTGAGGGTTTCTCATTTCTTTCCTTTCCCCGTTTTTTTCCAATGGAGGCTTTAGAAGACGCCCTGGGTTGGGTTTGTCCGAGGGATTGCTTTGACGTGCCATTGACACGTCTTCACTCTCTGCGAGTTGAAATCCGTGTACCGTAAAATTCCGAGAGATGCCTCACCTCCGAAAGATAACCCGCCTCCATTTTTTTTTTGGCACAATTTGCTATTTCTTTAAAAACACCGAAAGATAGTCCGTTTATATTAATGGCAGGGCTCTGGCCAATGGTGACCTCAGCAGAAATGGTGTTACTTAACCACGGCGATAGATAAGTTTACATTGCTGACTGGAAAAGTCGTCTTAATTCATCACCCCTCCCTGCAATTACAAGTTTCGCAGGTCACAAAATCTGAAAGTAGCATTTTTTCAACTTTTTTTGGATCACACACCGAAAATCAACCTACTCTTCATTTTCGTCCGATTTGCTTTTGATTTTAGGTGGGCTATCTCTCGGGGTATTACGATAGTGTCCTGGGTAGTTTTATGGGACACTGTTTCACTTCCAGTGCACCTTCTGAGAATTTGCCGGTGAAACTTCTCTACCCTATTTCCTATTTATTTATGCTCATTAACACCAATCTTGGCTCCCACTAGTTGTTTCGAGTTTTCCCTTCTTCCCTTCTCCATCACTGAATAGAATGGTTTACTGTTGAGCATTTTTGAGAATGATGTTTTCTGCAATGCTGTTGATACGCCTTTTATTCTCGAATATTGTTGTTATAAAAGACAATATAAGTGAATGTCCAAGTCGACAAGCATTAAGTGTTTGCACCATATTTTTTACTTTGTATCGCGATTATTGAAAACTGAACCTTTTTTACTGGTACATGTATTTGCGCGTGCGAATATGATTCAACCTCTCTTTCTGAAATGGGAAGACGAATGAGCGGCCATCGTTAGTAGTCATGGACAAGACGTGGACGGCAAGGTGCCTTGTTCGAATGCCTCTGGCACGCTTGCCTCGCATCACGCTTTGGTTGTGTGTGCACGCTCGTTCGGACACCCATTTTCGAACGGCGGCCGGCGCGGGATTGCGGTTGAAATGTAGAAGACTTAGAAGCGGTCGCGTGTGAATCGGCGCGTTAAAGGATTTTCATTGCAGTCAATTGTCCTGTGGATTTTACCAACAACCTTGACATCACCCACAAAGTCGCCTGACTCGAGAAGCGCTTCAAGGAGCTCGAAGCATTTTTTAAGTATCTCGTGAATTTCGAGCGCTTCGTGAACTTCGCCATCTCGTGAGCTTTGAGCGCTTCTCAAGCGCTCGAAGTTCACGAGATTCCGGAGCAGCGTCAAAACCGGGAAGCTCGTACCAGGGGTGGGAAGACGGGGAGACATCTCTGCCGCTGTAATCGCTGGCAGCTTAGGAAACAGAGTCTCTGGCATCTCATCATCGTTCCGCAGCCCACGAGATTGCGGCCTTAGAACGCCGAAGGTTTAATCACGAAGCTAGAAGCGTGAACGCAATGAGTTCCACGTTTCTTAAGTTGTCGATCGGCGACCAAATGCGCCTCCACCCCCGCAGGTGTTTGGCAGACGGGCAGGGGAGCTTCGACTGCATCTGCGCGGAGGGCTTCTCCGGCAGACAGTGCCAGGTGGACGAGAACGAGTGTGCGGCGGGCCCCTGTGCCAACGGCGCCACCTGCCACGACCTGGTGAGTCTGCTTGCAGTTCCCGGGGTGACAGGTAAATTTGCAAATGCACGCCTTTTCTTGTCCCACGCTTTTTTCCACTCCTGGGCTCAGAAGACGAAGCTCCAAGGTGTTTTGGTGGTCCCGCGATGAGGTCTTCGTAGTTTTGTGGGTTAGGGCTTTGAAAACCCCTCTTGTCCTCGGTTTCATGGGAGGTCGTATGACGGCACTTTGTTGCTGTAAGTGTCGATGGTGGACACCTTTTTTTTTTTTCGTTGAAATATCTCTGGATTCCTGAATATATGACGACAGATAACCCCAAAGCCATATTGACCACCCCATGGCTTATTGCGCCACGAAAGTCTGTTGATGGAATTGTCCGCTTTGGAACCTGCTTTGTGGATAGCGGTATATGTGCTCTTTCTAGCGCATTCTTACCCCATTAAATTGGATTCGACAGAAATCGGAAATATGTTTGTTATATCTGAAATTCATTATAAGTGGGATTCATGAAAAATCTTGATTTTTTCATACATGTTAAGCCAATGTCATGCGACATACAGCATAACGTGGCTAAAATAGTCGTCATTATTTGTTGAAGTGTCAGTGCAGGCGTTTTAATGCAATACCTGATGGTTGCGTATACATTTCATTGTGCCTGGAGGTGGGTTTCTTCCTGTGCGCTTTTATATGACTTGAAACTAGGGGAGCGAGTAGCCAGAAATACGCAGGGCACACAGCCTGTGCTGGTGGGTGGGGGAAGGGGACTTGTTTTTTTTAGGGGAGGGCACTACCTTAAAATTGCAATTTCATTTTTAAAAGTTCCATTTTTAATGAGTGGTCTTATCAGCTATCAAATATCCTGCTGGATGCTGTTAGGAAATTTCACTCCTGCAACTAAAATATTTTTTCCAGAATAAATTATTTCCAACATCCCGGCACTTTTAAACTACAGCTTTCTGAACTTTCAGACACTTTTATCTCAGTTTCATTTTTTGGCCTCAAAAATTGGTTCAGGAAAACTATCATTTGATAATAAATTGATGTGTGGAGCCAGTGTTTGAAGTCTCCATACTGAAATTTTGTAAGGAATGGGACTGTGAGCTTGCTTTCTTGCATTTTAGTGGCCCTTTGTTATGAAAAGCTGCAGTGTCTCTACAACCTAATGCTTGCAAGAAAATAAACTTTATTTTCAGATTTTTAGTTTCTATTAAAAAAGTATAATTTCCATAATTTCCTTTCACAGCCGTGTGACACGGGTGTTATACTGTATGTTTCACGATAAGAACTGGCCATTATCATTACCTTTTTTAAACTATAATTTTCTTCAGGGGGTGCAGTGTTTATCTACTTCGATGTAACTTTATGAAGGATAAATTTATAAACTTTGAACTTTGGTCGTCATCCTTTTTCTCAGCTATGACTGTGCCCTGCAAATTCTATACAAGTAAAACTAACAGTTCAAAAGTTTGCCTTTCTAAGTAGCGTCCTCACTTAAATGCCGTGAAAGGAAATAGAATACACTAGAGCAAACTTCAAGTGTAAATGAAACAATCTGCGACTAGGATGCGACCCCCATACCGCAAAATAAATGATCGCCATTAATTACTGCTTTCTTTCTAAAAATTAAAATTCTTTTATCAAAAATGTTAGCATGGCAGGAAGTGTTTGTCACGAAGTGGGTGGTTAAATTAATAAAAATAAAGCAATGATCCACTCTGAGGATAAACGAGAAATTACGGAAAAAGAACAAAAGAGCTAAGTTCGACCGGTGACTAGCGCTAGGTCCACGCCAGGTGTAAAATCAGGAAAGAGAGACGATGACACAGGGAGGATAAGCAAACAAAAGATTAAAAATTTAATAAAGTGAAATACTACGCCGCGGACGGCAAAAGAGCACTCTACACAAACCTCGCTCCAGTTAAACGCAATGGGGTCCCGCGGGCCAGAAACTAATACTAAAAAAGTCACGACACTCGTAAAACAGGATCGAGCCGACAAAACCGCGACGAAATCCCAACACTAACCAAAAACAAGGGCAAACCGAGACGGAACTCGAACGTTACCGCTACCCAAAAGGGACAATCCCCCAAAACAGTCGCGACAGAAAGTAGCGCTACGTATAAAAATGTCCCAAAGTTCAACAGTTCGTACTTCAGAGCCGGAGGATGAAGTAGACAAAACAAACAAAAAAACAGCTTAGCTTTCCGGTAGGTGCCGAGTCCAGAGCAGTCCGTTGTCTGGAGATGTCGGCCGAAGAACGATGTCTCGGAGTCAGGCGGTCCGGTTAGAAGCTTGATGAGGTCGACACCGCGCACCACACAGCCACGCACGCTTCAGCACAACCAACTCAAACACTTGCCCGACCGGCAGGGCAGAAGCCGAAAAATTAAACGTTCAAAAACTCACGTGCAGGGAGTGACTGCGTCGAGCAGCACCCCGGCCAGCTCCGGGGCTCGACTACCTCCTTTGTTCCAGAACCCCTTTTTATAGGTTCGACTACCGACCAACCTCCCGTTTTCCCGCCTTTCGGGTCAGTCCACTTCCCAGAAAAGCAAAGGTATCCGGCGCCGACCCAAATGGGAAAACATACAGGCCATCCATTTCCCCCGTACGAGTCCAAAACATCAATTATCGTCGATACGTAGAACCCGACAACAACGACAGGCGCCAGACTGAAGAAAGTCGCCGCCTTCAAAAGGCGCGCCAGCCAGCTTAGACATCTTTGTATCCCGGCGTCGCCTTCGCGTGTCAAATCGGCACCAGAGTCCGCAAACGCACCCCTCCGTCCGCGAAGGCCAAGACACAAATTAACTTTGCCCCGGGGTGAAGCCTAATCTGAGTCGTCCGTCCACAAATACCTACCCCGAAAACGAGCAAACCCGTTGGGGACGTAGAAAGGATAATACGACGGGACGAACTGGAGATTAAAAGCGGCCCGGCACTCCCCGTTCCCGGACCGTACCGACACTTAAAGTGGTCCGAAAAGAAGATCATAAAAATGAAAAACAAAATCAAGAAAAGCCTGAATTTGTGACACTACTCCCCACTTCAAGAATTTTTCACGCGTGAAAATTCAAACACAGCACAAATTCAGACACCATGAAACCAACAGCTGCCTCAAAAGGTAAAGGGAGAAACAAACACACACGTCTCCAGGCGGCAAAGTACATACATACAAACGAACCAGAGAGAGCGCTTCGACGCTCCTGTAAGCAGGACTCTACAAATATGAAAATAATATTAATTAAAAATGACAAAAAGAAAACTTAAAGCCGGCCTAAATAATCGGCTCCAACGTTTCCCCGCCCTTTGTGTACTAAACTTGCTGTTCGATGGCGCCTCGAACTGCAAAGAATAGTGTCCGTCCTCTGTTGAGCGCTAAGGCCCGTCCCAAACACGACGTCTTTCGATCTCTCGCTTGTTTCCATTCTCAGCAAGGAGAAATCCCGTTCGCGATCCTCTTCTTCCTAAGTTACGACGTTGCAGACATTGGTCTCCCCCTCCGTCTGTCGCTCTTCGTACTTTGTCAGGAGGTTGCCGTGAAACAACCCTGTCGAGTGCCCCAGATCTACGTTCTTCATAAAGAACTCGCAAGGGTGTCTTTTCTTCTTGACAGTCATTTTCTTTGCCCTCGTTCAGGAAACAGCTCGGGAGGCCCTCGTGCCTACGTTGTTCTGCCAACAGAGCTTCGGGAGTGACAGTTTCATTCGGGATTTCCGGGACCTTGTGTGGCTTAGGTCCAGCCGTCTGGCTGCTCTTCTTTTGAAGCCTGGTTTCCACGGCGGCACTCATGGTAGATTCGACTTCCTTGCCGTTGTTGTCTTCGGTGGTGATCCCGTTATCAGCTGCTTCAACATCCCAGTCGGGATTGGACTCTCCTGCTGCCAGAGCCCCGGGAATGTTGCCCAGAATGATGTCATATATTGGACTCTCCATGCAGAGTGCTGTTACTTCGCCGCTGAAGAAAGGAGTGCACATCGACAGCCTGGCTTCGGGGAGTACCCTGACCGTTCCATCCACCAGGTAAACTGCTTTAGACGTTCCTGTGAGGTCTTCGTCTGAGATAAGGCTTCTCCGAACGACAACGGTGTTGCACCCGGTGTCGCGGAGGATCGTGACGACTCGCTTTCCCGCTTTTCCCGTTCGTACTGGTAGTCGATCCGTCAAGTGCTTCGTTTCGACCGCAATGATCGAACTTACGATCTGGAGTCGCTCCTCGTTCTTCAATTTCCCGTAGCCGTTCTGATTGAGCCCGTCGTTCATCTGGCCGTTCTCAGTAGTCACACAGCAGGAAGCTTGAGATCGCCCCCGGGGTCCATCTTGGGATCCTCCCTGGCAGGAATTTGCGGTGTGGCCTGTCCGACCACATCTCCAGCAGGAGGGAGTCTTCGGGCCTTTCTCTCGGCAGTCAGCAGCCCGGTGTCCCAAGCGGTTGCAGAGAAAGCATCTCAAGGGAGGCCGTCCTTCTCCCGCAGGGTTCTTGTTGCCATCTCGTGGAGCATCAGGGTTCGGTTTCTTCTCTTCCGACTTGAACCCAAGAGACTGGGCCCCTTGTGCTTCCAGAAACCGATCGGCCAAGTCGGCCATGTCGTCCAGAGTCTTTGATCCTCTCTCCTTGATGAAGATGGCAAGCTTCGGCGAGCACCCCTTTATGAATTGTTCGGTGAGTACTAGGTTCCGGAGAGTGTCGTACTCCTTCATCGTCTCGGCAAGTTCGACCCAACGGTCGAATAGGCTCGCCAGGCGCGCTGCAAACTGTGCTCCCGTTTCCCCGTTTTCCGGTTTGGCGTTCCGAAACTTTTCACGAAATCCCTCTGCAGTCAGACGGAACCGTCTCATCAATGCCTTCTTCACGCCCTCGTAGTCAACGGACTCTTCCGGTGTGAGTCTGGAAATTACCGACAGTGCCTCGCCCTTCAAACACAATGCCAGCATCGTAGCCCATTGGTCGCGAGGCCAGAGTTGTCCCAGGGCTAAACGCTCGAACCGAAGGAGATATGCGTCTAAGTCGTCTTTCTTCTCATCAAAGGCCGCCATCCAGCGTTGAGGACTCGTTAGCACGGCGCCGTGATTCGCCCCAGACCCATTCGTAGGGCTCGCATTTTCGACTTCCTTCAGCCGAATCTTCAACTCTATCATTTCTTTTGCCTTTGCTTGCCGCACGTCCTCTCGATCCATCTCATCTCTCACCCAGTTTCGCAGTTCCACCCCATCGTAGCCCAGCTCTCTCCCAAGCGCGGTTAATTCCACTCGCGACATGGTAGCACAATAACTCTCACACTCAAAGCAAGAAACAAACGATTACTCAAATCGCCCGCCCTCGTTCTTCCTCGCGGCCTTCCTTCGCAGTGGGGTCGTCTCCCTAACCTTACACCATGCCACCGGTCCTGTCGCGGACGCCAGTTTGTCACGGAGTGGGTGGTTAAATTAATAAAAATAAAGCAATGATCCACTCTGAGGATAAACGAGAAATTACGGAAAAAGAACAAAAGAGCTAAGTTCGACCGGTGACTAGCGCTAGGTCCACGCCAGGTGTAAAATCAGGAAAGAGAGACGATGACACAGGGAGGATAAGCAAACAAAAGATTAAGAATTTAATAAAGTGAAATACTACGCCGCGGACGGCAAAAGAGCACTCTACACAAACCTCGCTCCAGTTAAACGCAATGGGGTCCCGCGGGCCAGAAACTAATACTAAAAAAGTCACGACACTCGTAAAACAGGATCGAGCCGACAAAACCGCGACGAAATCCCAACACTAACCAAAAACAAGGGCAAACCGAGACGGAACTCGAACGTTACCGCTACCCAAAAGGGACAATCCCCCAAAACAGTCGCGACAGAAAGTAGCGCTACGTATAAAAATGTCCCAAAGTTCAACAGTTCGTACTTCAGAGCCGGAGGATGAAGTAGACAAAACAAACAAAAAAACAGCTTAGCTTTCCGGTAGGTGCTGAGTCCAGAGCAGTCCGTTGTCTGGAGATGTCGGCCGAAGAACGATGTCTCGGAGTCAGGCGGTCCGGTTAGAAGCTTGATGAGGTCGACACCGCGCACCACACAGCCACGCACGCTTCAGCACAACCAACTCAAACACTTGCCCGACCGGCAGGGCAGAAGCCGAAAAATTAAACGTTCAAAAACTCACGTGCAGGGAGTGACTGCGTCGAGCAGCACCCCGGCCAGCTCCGGGGCTCGACTACCTCCTTTGTTCCAGAACCCCTTTTTATAGGTTCGACTACCGACCAACCTCCCGTTTTCCCGCCTTTCGGGTCAGTCCACTTCCCAGAAAAGCAAAGGTATCCGGCGCCGACCCAAATGGGAAAACATACAGGCCATCCATTTCCCCCGTACGAGTCCAAAACATCAATTATCGTCGATACGTAGAACCCGACAACAACGACAGGCGCCAGACTGAAGAAAGTCGCCGCCTTCAAAAGGCGCGCCAGCCAGCTTAGACATCTTTGTATCCCGGCGTCGCCTTCGCGTGTCAAATCGGCACCAGAGTCCGCAAACGCACCCCTCCGTCCGCGAAGGCCAAGACACAAATTAACTTTGCCCCGGGGTGAAGCCTAATCTGAGTCGTCCGTCCACAAATACCTACCCCGAAAACGAGCAAACCCGTTGGGGACGTAGAAAGGATAATACGACGGGACGAACTGGAGATTAAAAGCGGCCCGGCACTCCCCGTTCCCGGACCGTACCGACACTTAAAGTGGTCCGAAAAGAAGATCATAAAAATGAAAAACAAAATCAAGAAAAGCCTGAATTTGTGACAGTGTTATTTCCAAGCAGCAGCCTTAGCAGTATAATTTAGATCCCACGTACGCCTGTCCCAGCAAAATATCAAAAGTGCCAATGACTCGTTCATGCTAACCGTGCTGCACAGTGTGTGCAGAAACAAGCTCGCTAAGTCGTCGTCCGGAGGAATAATGTTTCTTGAGCCAGGCTTTCCCAGAGCAATTCGTTGTTCGGAGCTCGCATGCTTGTGGACTGTGGACGACGCATGTTTTGCATTCGATTTCTTTCCGTAGCTGCCTCATTGTCCGCGCAGCCTCCGAGTTTGAGAGAAGCTACCGGTTTTTGAAGCGACTGGTGATGATTTCATGTTCAATATCAGATCTCTGCCGGACAGTCGATGTTGCCGGTCGTTTGAAGCTGTGCTCGCAGCGATCCGAAAGAACTGGATCAAGCTGACCGAACAACCGTGCAAACCCTCCCCTCCTTACCACTGAACGCATTCCCTCTCTCCCAGCCTCTGCCATGCAGAGCCGTATATGGGGAGAGTCTGGCCAGTAGGCATGGCGACGAAGGTGCTGGAGAGGAGAAAAGTAAAGGAAAGAAGGGAGAGCACCAAAGGAGCGAGCAAAGAGGAAACGACCGTCATTTTGATGCAACACGCTTTCAACGCCGAGCACTGTTGAGGCTATGTATCGTCTGCCACGGGTCGACTTCTTTTTCACCTCAATGAAAGTTTGCGGTCAAACATCGAGAAAACTTCATTCGTTAGCTTTTTAACCCACTGAGGTATAGCACTATATAATTTTCTTGCAAGCGCCAGCAAAATAAAAGGAAAGAAGCGAAATTTGGATGTCGATCCTATGCATTCCACTGGGCGAACGAATAGAAATAGCGGCCCCTTTTCGCACAGCTGGGAGCAGCCAGGAGTTCATGCGCATGCGCTCGCGCCTCGCACTCTGTGCCGCAAGCCAATTGGCTCACTCGGGAGGGGGGGGCGTTACGGTGGCGAGATTGTAAACTGGCCAAACTCTCCCAATATTAGGCTCTCCTGCCACAATGTTGCAACAACACGTGCGATATGACGGAGTCGATTCCGTCGCATCCGGAGATGTGTAAATTTTCTTGTATAAAGCAACCCGACGTCTCTGGGAGCCACCCTGTGCCAAAATATAAGGGAACAAGTTGTCGAGAGACGGGGACACTGAGCGGGCTTTCCCCTTGCGTGCAGGCGGGGGACTTCCTGTGCCAGTGTGCCCTTGGCTGGCGGGGCAAGCGTTGCGAAGAGCCTGAGGACGCCTGCGAGGCCCTGCCCTGCGCCCACGGCCGTTGCTCGGCCACGGGCCCGGGCAACTTCAGCTGCAGCTGCCTGCCGGGCTTCGCGGGTGAGCGACCGTGCCGGTGGGCGTCCTCGGGGACCGACCGGACGCGGGATTCCCTTCTCCTCCTTTGTAATTTTGACCTTGCAACTGCCGGGAAATTCAAAGAGCAGCGCGAGTGTCGGGAAGAATCCGTCAATGCGTGTCGCTTCGTTGTGTGCCGACCCCAAACGGGCCCATCAAGGTCCTGTCGGGTGAAAGTAAATAATAACAGTGTCGACGGCAGCTCAGGGATCCCGAACAAACGCTCATCCTCTTCGAACAAATTAAGCTGCCATCAATACGAGATGGGTGAGCTTTTGGGATACGGTGCCAAAAGTTTTATGAAAGCAAACGGCGAACGTGTGGGCACCTGCTACGAACTCGCTCGACGCTGGGATCGATGCTGCAGAGTGCAGGTTTGGCTAACTCGCTTTCCACTCTACTAGCTTTCGACTTCATGTTGTCACGTGGGACTTCGTTGACCTCCGTTGAGAACAAGTTTTGGTGCTCCCAACGGCAACCGCGTACGAACTCTGCGAGTCGGGTGGCGGACGGCAACTCTGGCGTCCTTTGCAGGGGAGCGCTGCGAGGCGGATGAGGACGACTGCGTGGGCTCCCCGTGCCTCAACGGGGGCTCGTGCCGCGACACGCTGCGGGGCCGCCTGTGCGACTGCCCGGCGCCCTTCTTGGGGCCGGACTGCGGCCAGCGGGGGGACCCCTGCCTGGCGTCCCCCTGCCTCAACGGGGCCTCCTGTCTGGCACGGGAACAGGACCCCTGGTTCGAGTGCGCCTGCGCCCCGGGCTTTGGGGGCCCCACCTGCAACCTGGACGTGGACGAGTGCCGGGGAGTCGTCTGCCCCCCGAGCATGCGCTGCGTTGACCGGGTCAACGGCTACGAGTGCAGGTGCGTCCCCCCCACGTTGCGGGAGATGCGTGGCTGGCCTCGACGGGTCGCCACCTTCCAACCTCTGCGACATCTACCGTTTTGTAAACGCTCCCAAGGCCGCGAATTTCTGAACGCTTTTAAATGCATAGCATCTATAAGGTCATTGGGCGCGTTAAGTTAACGCGCTCGAGCGCGCTCCAGCGGTCAGAGTGCACTCGAGCTAAACTAAACGACATCGTCTCACTTCCGGTGCACGGTGGCGGAGCGCGCTCCGCGAGCTCCGTCGTCGGAGATGGTGCGCGAGAGCTCGAACAGCTCGGTTTCCGGTGTAATGACGACGTTTCCGCTCTCGCGGCCATCTCGCGGTTACTCGAGGTGGTTTCACGCGGTGGTCTCGCACGAGACGGAAGAAACATCAAAACCCGAAGCGTTTTGGGCTCCGGGCCGGGCCGCCGGGACCAGAGGCGTCGGGTGTGCGCAATCCTTGGCGAGCGAGTTCGCTTCCGAACGCTCCGAGGATGCCACCGCGCTCGCCTCGCCAAACCTCGCCGACCGCGACCGCACCAACTGAACCCCGCGGCCCAAAGGCTCCGGCCTAGCCAGGAACGGCACCGAGGTAGGCTCGGTCGTGGGTAGGAGCTGCTCGTTCTGCGCTGCCATGCAGTGCTCGGAGCTCTCGGCGTCGTTCGTGCTTGCGCCGAAGCCTTTAGGGACTCCCTCGGACGCGCAAGTCGCGCCTGCTTGGATGCGTGGATACTTCGACGGCGATCGCTTGGCAGCTCGTGCAATCGTTCCGTCATCGTGGAAAATAAAAAAAGCATGGTGCTGGTGTAGAAAGGTATGCATACATCCTTCAAATGCTTGTCAAAGTTCTTCATGTACCTTACCGCAATTTCACGATCAGGCGAGCCAATGAATTCGGCCATTCAGCCGTCATTCTTTAAGGCTTTTGGGAATTCAGGGGGCGTTCGGCGTACCTTTAATCGCCGCACCAACAGCGTGCAGCACAAATACAAGCTCTTGCTGTTGCCGCCGTCTCCGCGCACTTATTTCATCGAACTCGTCGTCGAAGAAACACTTTTTCGACGTTTCGATGTACTGCAGTTTCGACGAGACGGGAGCCATGTTTACGCGCGCCAGAAAGCCGGAAACGGAAACGTTAAAAAAATAGGCGTCAGATGTCGCCTCGGTAACAAAGTGCGCCGTTAAGCTACGCTCCGAGCCCGCGCGCTCGAGCGCAGATGTCCGGAGTCTGGAGCTCACTAACTTAACGCGCCCATTCTTAGGGATTTCGTGTCTGCAGATATAGCCTTGGTGCTGTCACGTAACAATGTGGCACCGTGTGACATTATGACGTGACATCGTCACATCGGGCCACGTGACATCAAGTCATCTGTTGAACCATGACATCGTGGGACACTGACGTAAATTGGCTCTGGGATGACATTGTGACATGATGTCGGGTAACACCATGACGTCATGTGACACTGTGACAAAAAATGGCAGAGATGACATTGTGACATCATGCCACGTGACATCATGACGTCACTGTGTCGTGTGATGTCAGGTGACACCGTGGTGTGACATCATGACGTCACATGGCACATTGAAGTCATGTGATGGCTATTTGTAAAACCATCACAATGAATATCGTCACAGTGATGTTTATAAAACCATCACATTGTGCTTTTCATTGGCTCCCTCACTGTGCCTGCAAAAGGAGGTGCACGAAGTGGCCCTTTAAATGCTATGTGTGTACAGCTTGTCCCCCAAAAGAATGCAGAGTGTTTTTTCGATGCAGAAGTAAACTACTCATTGCCGAATGCTTATTCTCCACCCAAATGTAGAGCGAGTGGTCTGAACTAGATGTCAAAGTTTCAGCACTAATCGTAGACAAGTGCCAAAAAAAAAAAAAAAAGACTGCGACAAGTTGACGTAACACTTACGCCGGTGTTTATGTCAACATCTTGTCCCTGTCTATTTTTTTGGTGCTTGTCTACGATCATGAACCAACTGACCCAGATTGCCACATTAATTTCAGTACTAACTGTTATCTTATTCAAAAGTTATAAGTGGCTGTCTGAAAATCTCAATCGAAAATGAAGCCCATTTTTGCCCATTTCCGGTAACTGGCACCATAGAGATCCATGTATTCGAGAGCTCGGTCGACCTTCATTTTCCCGCTAAAAATTGTAGAAAACCCTTATAACTTTTAAAGAAAATAATGGTTAGTACTGAAGATTTGGCATTTGGTTTGTACCACTAGTGCCACATCTAGGCAGAGAATGAGCGTTTGGCGATGCATAGTTCATTTTTGCGGTAAAGGAAACCACCCCGTAAATTGTTTTGGAGGACACTCTGTAGATGAGTTCAGGAAATGCCAAAGAAGCAGTGAATTTTTTCAAATGCTTTCCTCGACGCTGAAGGCTGAGGCAGCTTGAGTAACGAAGCATTTCATGGTTTAAAATGGAAAGACGGCTTCAAGTGACGCTAAGTATGGTTTGCAGGGGGTCTGTAAAGGTGTGTGCGGTTGACGCAGGTGTGCCCCGGAGGGCGCCTGCCCCTCGGCAGGCTGCGGAGTGGACTCGTGCCCGGCCAACGCCCTGTGCCAGGACGCGGAGCGGGGCTTCCGGTGCGGCTGCCGGCGGGGCTGGACGGGGCCCCGGTGCTCGGAGGACGTGGACGAGTGCCGCCAGGGGCTGTGCGAGCACGACGCCATCTGCCGCAACCTCAACGGCTCCTACCAGTGCTTCTGCCGGCCGGGCTACACTGGCACCCACTGCCACATCGAGGTAGGGGGCGCTTTTTGCCCGGTCAGGGCACCGGGCGCAGTCACTAGGCCAGTCGGAGGACCACTGTGTTACTGGGATTTGGGGTCTGTTCCCACATAAAGCACCGAGTTGGTACCAACTGAGCACTGATTTGGCACCATGCGGCATCGACTCTGCACCGACTCTGCACCGACTCCACACCAAGTTGCGCCATGCATGTCGGTGCAGAGGTTGGAGAGGTCAGAAACCAGAGAAAACCCAACGTCTTAGAGAAATGTGAGTGCATTGGGAGGCTTTTCTTGTCTTTGCTTGCAGGTGAACGAGTGTCTGTCCCAGCCGTGCCAGAACGGGGCCACGTGCCGGGAGGGCGTCAACCAGTACCAGTGCCTCTGCCCGCCAGGCTACCTGGGCGACCACTGCGAGGTGGACCTGGACGAGTGTGCCTCTTCCCCCTGCCTCAACGGGGCCACCTGCCTCGACAAGGTGGGCACGTCTGCGGACACGGCCTCTGGCGCCGCCACCTTGCTGCACTCTCCACTCTATATGATGTCGGGAATGCCGCGCAACCCAGCCATTGTAACCGAATATCATATCTGAAGTGGCCTTCAAAAGTCCACGAAATGATGTGTGATGCCCCGATGCTGCCGGTTGCAGCTACTTACTGTATTATGTGTATTACATCTTTTAATGTCGGACTTAAATCTTTGTGCCTAAAAAGTAGTAAATTTATGCTTATGGATTTCTTCTGGTGCATGAAGGCCAGACTGATCTCCGCACAGCGCCTTCAGTTGCTACGCATATTCCGGTCGGAGTCCTTTCGCATGCACAGGCAAGATTGACATTGTCGAAAGAAATTAACGTAAAATCTCAAATAAACCAGTGTGGTGAAGAGTTAAAAGGGTGAAAACAATTTGAACTTGCCTCGATAATCTGCATAAGGCCGACTGATGTCGCGTGCTTGTGTCAATCTGTTTCAATCTGTTTTGATCTTTTTCGCCTGGGAGGACGACACAAACTTGCAATGCATTCTGCATCGGTCAGCTATGTATGAAGTATCGAAGTAAGTTCATATTTTTTCTGCCCAACATAACAAGAAAAAGAGCTGAAATCTCTGTTGTTCGACTTTTACTGTTGCTCGCTGGTTTGTGAAAGTGGAGTGGAATGGACAAAACTAAGTCTTTGTTTCAGCTTCTTCTGGGGGGGGCTAGAGCCTTGGGTTTTGCCCTCACACCACCTGACTGTAGATAGAAAAGGAAGCTTTTATTTTGATGTCAATTGTTTATACTAGTGGGAACATCATCTTAGAAGTGAGGATCTTAGATTTGTTGTCTTTCTGGATTCAAGTAAATGTGATGCTGCATTCCTGAGAGGCAAAATAGAATTATAGCGACTCGTTGCCATCGTCTTTCTTGAAAGGACACTGGCATCGATGACTTCTGTCTGTCGCTCAGTTGGATAAAGTCAGGGGTGTGCAATTAATACACCCCTGTGAGACATCCTTCTCTGGCCTTTAGCTATGCTATTGTTGTCATTAAAGTCACTTGTTTGCCCTATTCTTTTTCTTTCACAGGGAAGAGTCTGCAGCATTATTTATTTTTGTTGCCATCTTCATTTTTTTTTTTTTCTTAAGGTTGCTTATATTTTGAGAGTAAAGCCCTTTCTGCACGTAGCTAGCATTTTGAGATTCCTGCAGGGTAACAATACGAGACAAGCATCTTTGCCGCAACCTATGCGTGACCTAGTCTCGTTGGAATTTCACTTGTCCAGCCGGGTAGAGGAACTCGCACCAACTACCATATTTGCATGATTCTAATGTGCAAATATGGTCGGCTCCCATAAGCGCCTCTCCTGGCTACGTCACTGGAGGAGGTCGTGGTGATACAACTGCCGTTTCTTTATTCTGCGCTGAGGAATTCTTGTTTTTTTCGGCTGAGAGTAAAAACAAGTGACGTAGTGGTGCAACCAATTTATTAAAAGCGAGAGTGAATTAGTTCCCTGAATGTTATTTGTATCTTCTGGTGATGCACTCACGCCCACCTAGTTGTAAAAGATAAGTATATTTGTTCGTAGCTACACGAGTCGAAAGGCTTGCGGTTGTATCATCCTCTCAGTCAAGGGTCTGTTCCCGATCTGTTGTGAGCTTATGTGACACGCAGTATGTAGTAATTCCTCGTCGCCAAAATGTAGTAATTAAAAGGGGTTATCCGAGAAAATTAAATAGAGCAGTGCCTGCTGGGGCCTGCGGAAAAACGAGGGGTCTCACATGCCGAAGTGGTGACCGGCGAGCCGGGCGCGGGAGCCCCGGAAGGTGAGAGAGACACGTTCGATGCGGTCGGTGGCTGAAGCGTAACTCTCTTTATTAACGGTAAACAAACATGGGGGTAGGGCGCCACGGGGACGCGACGCTGACAACACGGCGCAATGGTGAAAAGTGGCGCCATCCAAATAGTGTGTAAAGAACTTGTGAAAAATTAAAATACTACACAGTACACAGTTATTGGCAATCCGGTGACAACGGGCTAACCAATTACTATGCGCTGCGCTTGAAAGTCTTGGCTGCCAAACTCGCTAGCAGGTTGCAGGCTGCACACAGAGAGGTAGGTTTCATGTCTAGAAGCAGTTTTGTGAAAGCAGTGGCCCTTTTTGTTTGCTGAGATGGCACTAGCACACCATCTGTCTAGGCTGGTTATGCAAAACAAAATTGGATTCGAAACATATGCACACACGCATAAAAAATAAACATACATAACTCCAGCTGTTGCGCTAAATTAATGTTCATTTATTGCTTAATGTGCTGTATTCACGGCTGCATTATTTTATCGCGGCTTGTCGAGCGTAGCTGCTAAAATGACCAATCCTTAGAAAACAATTATTACTGGTAATTATTATAAAAAAAAAGTGAAGATGGACGATTAGCGAAGCTGTTATCTGTACGACGTCTAGGACGGTGAATAGAGGATGGCGTCTAGGACTTCAACTCCAAAGCATGTTGTGTCTATGTCTGTGGGGCTGTCCTTCTTGCACCGAGTTTTTTCATGTTTTTGTCTAATTTTGGATTTTAATTCCAATTGTAATGTGCACATAATTTCGAGTGTATTTTTTCCGAAGAAAAGTGTGCGTTTGGTTTGTAGAAATACGGTAACGTATTGAGAGAAGCATTAGCGACCTTGAAGAGGTCCTCACCAGCCACACATCTTCAAGGACATTCCTTTACCCAAACTGTCCAATTGTCAAGAGATTGCAAGGTGGATGTGGTCAGCAAGGCATTGACGCTCTCGTTTCGGTCTTATATATGCACTACCTCATTCCTTACATTGGCACAAAATATCGAGCCACTTGGAGGCTGTGTTTTCGGCAGAAACGCCTGAGGTTCTCGAATCTTTTCTTAATATATTGTTACGAATTCAGGTTTATTTTTGCATGGCGCCCGAAGTATAATCAACTCTAATGCATTCTAATCGCCTGCCGACGCCATCTGCACATGCACCGTTGACTTCATCCTCTGGTTTGCTACATCGCCACATCATGTTACATGACATGCATCAAGTGCTTCCTTGCCTGCTTTTCTTTTCTTGCAGTAGTACAGTTCAACCCAGATTTAATGAAGTCACCGGGACCCGCTAATTACTTCTTTAAATCTGGATCTTCCTAAAATCGAGGAAAAGAGACCTTGCGCATAGGCTGCGCGGGGAACCCGAATTTGTGCAATAAATTGGGAAATTTGTAAAATCGGGTTTCGTTAAATCGAGGTTAAACTGTATTTGTATCCACCCTCATACAATGCCCTATCAAGGCACTTCGATGTATAATAAGTAAAAAATAGAAAAGGTGACTTGGGTATGTGTGCTTCAGGTGGCCGGATTCCAGTGCGTGTGTGCCCCCGGTTACGAGGGCACCCAGTGTGAGGTGGACGTGGACGAGTGCCAGTCTGGACCCTGCCTCAACGGTGCACCCTGCCTGGACCTGGTCAATGGGTGAGCACTCCTGCTAGCAACGTATTGCAAACACTCGAGCTCTTTTCCTGTGAAGTGACAAGAAGAAGGACACACTTTAGTTTCAAACTTTTGCGAGACTATCTGGCTTAATTGCTTTTGCAGGGTGACAACCAATGCTCTGCTCGAGCTTCTCTGCACACAGTGTACGGATACCCCAGGAACTTGCCTGCAACAGCTGCAACCACCTACCGTATTTACTCGCATAATGAACGCACTTTTTTTTCCCTAAAGATTGACCCATATTTGGGGGGTGCGTTATTAGGGAGTTTTAGAATAACGTACGCAATTTTAGCGCACGCTAGCGCTAAATTTAGCGCTTGTATTAGCGCACGCGACGCAGGAGAGTTTTAGAATAGCGTTTCTCCGCCGCGACGCAAAAGCCCAAGCATCTCACGCTTGCGACGCCACCAAGATACAGAAAAAAATTTTATTTCACACACGAAATGCTGTAACTTTAGAAAAAAAAAACGAGTTTTTTGGTCCAGAGTAGCATTTTAATTTGTTTAAACATGAGAACGCGACGCGAGCGGTTGAGCGGTCGTGTCCGTTTGCGTCGCCTCGGCAAGAGAGGTCTCGTGTACTGACCTTCGCACATCGCTCCTTCGCCGTGAAATGTTCGCGCGTGGCAAGCATCGAGTTGTCGGTGATCGCTGCCAAACCGAGTACAATGTCGTCCCGGACTGAAAATTGTAGTCGCGAGGATACCGCCGACGTCGAACTCACGACGCCGCCAAAGCAGCCGCCGACATAATCCTGGAAGCCGCCATTTTTTTTTAACTGTGCTCGTCTTGGCTTTAGCCAACTTCTCATCACGAATCCTCCTAGGAGAAGCGCAAAGGCTCTTTGTGTACGCACGCTATTTCCGAGAAATAGCGCACGCTAAAACTGCGCACGCAAAGCGCAAAACCTGCTTTGCGTTCGGAGCATGCGCAGTGGCGACGACGCTATTCTTTGCGTACGCAAAGCTTTAGCGTGCGCTATTCTAAAACTCCCTATTACTCGGGGTAAAATTTTTGCATTTACACACTTATTGCGAATGTCATTTTAGGTGCCAACATGACATGGCAGGGTACTGTAGCACGTCTCCATTGACAGAGGCGCACCCATGGCTGGTCGTGGACGCGCCACAGTAACCATGCTCTATAAATTGCGAATCTTTTTTAGGGCGCTTTCGGCGTGCCTTTTGCCAAAGAAAAAGCACCCTACGAATCTCACTCAACACGGAGAGTGACGCGACACTTCTTAGGCCTAACCACCTTCACGATGTCACTGTTCGAAAACAGATCACAGACGATGGCGTGTTTGTTGACATCAGTGTACAGTCGAACCTCGATATAACGAACTTCAATGTAACGAAATCCTCGATTTAACGAAGTATTTTATTTTTCATAATTTCTTGCCCATAGACTTCATGTATTTTTAGTCTCTATATAACGAAGTCTATTTTGCTCCTATTTCAATATAACGAAGCGCCATTTCCATAGAAGTCAATAAGTAAATAGACTCTAAAGAACAACTTCGCAAAAAAATTGTGGTTAAAAAAAAATTATTCGCAAACGCGAGCGCTTGATAGGTTACTTCATGGGGACAGGCCTTCCAACGTTCCTAGGCTGCCCGAGGATGCGGCGCCGGTAGTGCCGGCGAGGCATGCGGCAAAGCGGATTCCGCGGGGCTGGCCAGAAAATGCCGAGCAAAACGTTAACACGGCATAACAGCATCACCACTGACATTCACTGATCATCATAGTCCACTGTACCGCGGGTAGCGCGGGAGCCAACTTCAGCGGTGGAGCGACGTGAAGGCGCGACCGCACGGGCAGTGCCATCTAGGAGAAGACCCAGAAGACCGATTATCGTCTTGCGAGCGTGATGTAAAGCAAAGGCGCAAGGGTGCAAGTAAACTGTGTGAGCAAGAGTGCTGTGTAGGTTGGAAACATTGGCACCGCCTAAATAGCTTTATTTTTCAACCAGGTGGTTCACTCAGTTCACTCACGTGTTTGCTGCCATGGGGAAACGTAAAGTTCTTTCTTTGGATGAGAAAGCAAACGTTTTGGACGCCATCTCCACAGGCGAACGGAAGAAGGATGTCGCAGGTCATCCTTCTTCCGCAGAGTTCCCTTCCAGAGTTCCCTTCTACGCCGCAGAGTTCCCTTTCAACAATTCTAAAAGCAAAGGATCCTATTCTCGGCTCTCTGAAGAGTGGCTCCTTCTCAACCTTCGTTTAAAACGTTCAACGAACGTGGACATCTTCCAAGCACTGGAGGTGCTCTCCGCGTCTTGGAAAGCCACGACGGACGGAACCATCCAGAACTGTTTCCGGAAAGCTGGGTTTGAAACACCTCCAGCATCAACAGACAGTGCTCACGGGGAAGGAAGCGGAAGTATCGTCCTTTCCAAGTGCAGATGAGACGGAGTCAAACCAAGAGGCACTTCTGGGAGCATGGCAGTCCCTCCGTAGCGACGGTGTTGTCCCCGACGATGTCTCTCTGGACGACTACCTCTACGGGGACTCGTGCGTCGTTGCAAAGGAAGAGGTCTCTGACGCTTCCATCGTGCAGGATGTGGTCGGGAACTCGACGGAGGACGACAACGATTCTGAGGCCGATGCTGAAGAAACTGCCGAGATCCCGAGCACTCGGGAAGTGCTCGACGCAATGGACGTACTGAGGAGGTACACGGCGTCGCATGGGCAGCAAGATGCCGTGCAAGCGCTCTGGGCGCTCGAACGCCGTATGAGGCCGCTGCTACTGTCGAACAAGGCGCAAGCAAAACTCACGGACTACTTTGCCCCTAAATAAATGTCATTTTCGGTGAGTTTTCATACCCGTAAAATGTTTCGTAATTTTTTTTGCATGCTAAAGCCAAATTTCGATTTAGTGAAATTTCAATGTAACGAAGTAAATTGCGAATTTTAACCTACTTCGTTACATCGAGGTTTAACTGTATCTGATGGACAAAGCACGTCCAGGGCTACGCAATTCCTCGACCCCAGCTTCGCTAGACGTGCGCGCCGCTCGATTTCACTGTTGATCACTTCCGCAGCCACGCAGTTGCAGCCGTTACGAGAGCAGCTTGGCTTGGCTTGGCTTGACTTAGCCTGGCCGCTTGGTGGCAAAAAAAAAATCGGCTTCAAGACTCGCGGAGTTGAAAATTAAAAGTGCATTCATTATGCGAGAAAAAAAGCTCGAGCTACACTTAAGCATTTCTTGTGAGTTGTGAATGCGAAAGCATGCAAGCCGCTCCTCCGCTTCCTTTGTCGTCTGCTACGTACTAGCACGCGCGCGCTTCAGGATCTCGGAGGCCATGGCACAGCGGCCAATGGGAGCCCTGTCGACGCGCGCCAGCCAATGGAACCGAAGGCGAAATCGCGCAAACTAGGAGCCGTTTTTGCACTTCAAACTGATGACGTCAGCTCGCTTCATGAGACAGTTAATGCTTTCGCATTAAAAGAAAACAGCCCAAATATTGATGCCCGTTGTTGGGGTTGAATGCTTTCGCATTAAAAGAAAACAGCCCAAATATTGATGCCCGTTGTTGGGGGTGCGTTCATTATGTGAGTGCATTCGTTATGCGAGTAAATACGGCATTTGGGGGTGACATTCTCTACTTTATCAGCTTGGTGTTGTGCTTGCACAATGCTTAAGCTTATGCTTAGCACGAGCTTATGCTAATGCCAAGCACACTACAAATGCCGGGTTTATTTAGCTACATAGGAAATTGAAGCACCTAGGACTGTGTGACTGGGTTGCTTAATTTACTTACTCTGCTCTGCGACAGTGTTGGAAGTCCTGCACTGTCTTCTGCCTTCACTTTGCTGAAGAAATTACCGGCCTTTAGATATATAGCTTCTACAGTTCAATACATACACTCATTCTTGTGGTCATCGCTTTCCAATAAGAACTTGTCGTACGTTTGAATGTTGACCGTGTCTGCAGATCGTACGGGTCACCGTCGCCAAAATCGTGGCCGAGAGGCAGCCAATGCAGCTCGTACTGTCCGCAGGTACATCTGCAACTGCACGGACACGGGCTTCATGGGGCTCCACTGCGAGCAGAACATCGACGACTGCCGCCCGGACCTGTGTCTGAACAACGGCACCTGCCAGGACGGCGTGCGAGACTTCACCTGCCTCTGCCACCGGGGCTACGAGGGCCGCTCCTGCGAGCGGGACTTGCCAGACTGCGCTCCCTCGCCCTGCCAGAACGGGGCCCACTGCCTGGAGCGCTCCAATGCCAGCCTCTACCGGGAGAACTACCTCGGCCTGTTCCCCGGCCCCTTCAGCTACGACAACGCCTCGGGCTACCTCTGTTTGTGTCCGCCAGGGTTCAACGGCACCGACTGCGAGAACGACATCGACGACTGCGCGGCGCACGACTGCATGCACGGCCGCTGCGTCGACCTGGTGAACGCCTTCCGCTGCGAGTGCAACGCGGGCTTCGAGGGCGCCGACTGCGGCCGCGAGGTGGACGAGTGCAGCCTGCTGGCCCCGTGCGAGAACGGCGCCATCTGCCACGACTTGGTGGCGGACTACCGCTGCGACTGCGCCCCCGACTTCGGCGGCAAGAACTGCAGTGTCGCCCTCCTTGGCTGCCGCGGTGGGCCCTGCCACAACGAGGGCCGCTGCGAGCCATTCCTGAGCGACGCCGGGGACCACCTACACCGCTGCCATTGCACGCCGGGCTTCGCGGGGACGGCCTGCGACGTGGGCACGACCGCATCCCTGCGCAACGGCAGCTCCTGGAGGCTGAACCTGACCCGGGAGCAGCGGGCGGACCAGGGGCTCACCCTGCAGTTCCGGACGACGCTGCCCGACGGGGAGCTGGCCGCGCTTTCCGTGGACTCGCGGTACACCCTGGTGGTGGCGCTGCGCAACGGGAGCCTCGAGCTGCGCCTGCGGGAGGGCTCGGGGAGGTCGCCGCGGCCACTGCTGCGCCTCGGGGCTGGGCTGAACGACTCTCGCTGGAAGGAGCTCTCGCTGGGGCTGTACCCGGGCACGGTGCACGTCAACGTGTCTGGGGCCAATGGCAGCGCCGACCTCGACCAGCAGCACTCCTACGTGGCGCTGTCTTCGGTGGTGCTCGGCGAGGGGGGATTTGTCGGGTGTCTTCAGGAGGTGTACGTCAACGGTGCCCTCATGGTGCCCGGTGACCAGCAATCCCTGCAGCGGGGCGTCGAGGAGGGCTGCCCGCGGACGGAGCAGTGCGTCCCGGAGGCCTGCGGGAACGGGGGCATCTGTGTCGACCGCTGGGACCACTTTGAGTGCCACTGCCACCGCCCTTATCACGGACAGCGCTGCGAGCTCAGTGAGTCGTACCACGAGGAAAATAAGATGGGGCAAAAAGACCCGGGGACGATATAGAAGAAATATGCGGTCACGGTGCTTGTCCCCGTGTCTTTTTGCACCGTTTTAGTTCACTTGCAACACGTACCAACTCGCCCAACTACAAATGTTGCTACAGTTGTACCATGGGGTGCAGGATCGCGAGTTAATGCTCAGCATCTGGAGTGCCGTTTGCAAAGCTGGAAATAGAGTCTCTACATCTTGCACCCTACCTAACACCCTACCTAAGACTTGTTGGAAGGCTGCCGTTTAATCAAGTGGATGAACATTCTTAAGCATTGCATATATTTATTCGAGTACCTCTTTTAATTCCGGTGGTTACGAAGACTTGAAAGGATAGAGCATAGAGGACGGGGACGGAAACAGGACTTCCATCCCCGCCTTCTATGTTTTATCCTTTCAAGTATTCATATCTATTCACCAACACGCTCGTTTTCAGTTATTATTCCAGTGGTTGGATGTATATTCTAATTGCGCTTTGAAATATGCAATGAGCTTTTTTACGCTTCATTGATCAGTGTACGAGGGCTTGAGGCCCTTGCTAGTTGCTCTGGAAAAGCTCATTGCATGTGAGCTCATTAAAGGGGAGTGTCATATGATGCCTCGACCTCCCGACACTTGAAGAAAAGGGGAAAAGAGAATTAGCAGAGGACAAGCAAAATAGCTTCGAGACCAGATCATTTGGGGCAAACTTAGTGTAACCTGGTCAGTATCCTCCTTGTGCTTTGGAGGAAATGTAGAGTAGAGGAAAATTAAAGTAGCTTAGAGACCAGTGTCTGTGCTAGACTTTGTGGGTCCTGGTCAGAGTGATGATGGTTCTTTCTCTCGTGATGATTGCGTTGGCGACGATGTTCGAAGAAAGAGGCGGTGGATCATTAGATCGATGTGATACAGGACTGGCAAGACAGGACTCCGTAGTTGATAGTGAGAAGATATAAAAATATATTTTCAATTAGACAGATACAGTTCAGAGTTACATCATACTCTCAATACTAGAACCAAGACTCGGGCTAAGACACCCTTTTTGCCCCCCACTCGTCCTGATATCAGTTCACTCCGGATTTTCCCACGATTCCAACAAGCCCTCCCCTAAGCTCTTTTTGCAGCCAATCGGGGAGCACTCCCCAAAAGTAAAAACTTGTGTCTCCAGGGAGGACATGAACTTCCCCCACGAATGCATTAGCAACGAGTTTTTGAAAAATCCCTCGCTCATCTGTCAAGGACAACAGACAATCCGGGGAAAATCCTAGTGCCACCGAACTGCCCCGACTGCCCGGATCCTTGGCTGCTAACCACCATCACCGAAGTGCAGGGAGGGAACAATACAGATTAATACGACATGGGAAACCCCTCTCTAGAACAGTGTTGCCAGATCAGGTGATTGGGATTCCTCACAGTCAATACCCTTCTCACTTTTTGGAAGAAATGAAAAGAAGCGAAATGGCAGGAAGTGTGGGGAGAAGTAAAACAGCAGAGGTGAAACAAACTACTTAAGATTAAAGTGTTTGGATTGGACTTGGTGGGACCTGGTCAGTACCCACGTGTTTTGGGAGGAATGGGGAAAGAAGAAAGACCAAGGGAGTTGTGGGGAGAAGAGAAATAGCAGGGGAGAAGCCAAGTAACTGAGACCAGAGTGTTTGGGTTAGACTTGGTGGGACCTAGTCAGTATCCTCATGCTTTCGAAGGAATGGTGAGGAGCGAAAAAGCACGGGGAGATGCGGGGAGAAATGAAATAGCAAGGGACAAGTAAAGTAACTGCGACTAGAGTGTTTGGGTTTAACTTGGTAGTACCTGTTCAGTACCCTTCTGCTTTGGAAGGAATTGGGAGAAGTGAGAGAGCACAGGAAATGTGGGGAGGAATGAAATAGCAGGGGAGAAGTGAAGTGGCAGAGATCAGAGTGTTTGGTTTTGACTTGGCGGAACGTGGGCAGTATCCTCACGCTTTGGAAGGAAAAGGGAGAAGTGAAATAGTCAGGGAGAAGAAAAGTAGCTGAGATTCCAGAATGTTTGGGTTGGACTTGGTGGGACCTATAGTCAATGTCCTCATTCTTTGGAAGGAATGGAGAGATGTGAAATAGCAAGTGAGAAGAGAAGTAGTTGAAAGATCGGAATGTTTGAGTTGGACTTAGTGGGACCTAGTCAGTGTCTTCATGCTTTGGAATGAATGGGGAGATGTGAAATAGCAAGGGAGAAGAGAACTAGCTGAGAGACCAGAATGTCTGGGTTGGACTTGGTGGGACCTAGTCTGAATCATCATGCTTTGGGAGAAATGTAAAGAGTGAAATAACAGTCGAGGAGTGACAGTGTGTGTGCGAAAAGAAAAGTCTCTGCGTGATAAAAATGCATGCGTGGACTTAGTTGGACCTAGTCAGTATTCACCTCACCGTTTTGAAAGGAATGGTGAGAGGCAAAATATCAAGGGAGATGTGGGAAGAGGTGAAATACAGTAGAATCTTGGTAATACTATCACGGCTGGTACGAATTTCGGTATGATATGAATTAGCAAAATTCCATTGCAGAAGCGCTTTGTATACTATATAACATGAACATTTTTGGGTCTTCCGAATGCCGTGCAGCGCCATCCAGTGGCTAGGAGAGAAAGCGGCACGTCGGGAGCCGAATTCGAGATCCCGATCGACCCCGCGGCGACACGACCATGTGATCATGTCTGAGGCGAGGCAACCGCATAACTGCCTCGCGGCCAAGATGGCAGAGTGGTTTGATGGGCGCCCTCGTGAATGCACGGTGCACCATAGCGCCTTGCGAGCAAAGGCGAAGTCTTCAAAGTTTTCATGCCGCCGTGCCAGCTGTCACGGATACTTGTACAGCAGGTGGGATCCCCATGTCTGGGAAACAAAAATCACGGTCTTTCAAGGAAAAGCTATAGATTTAAAAAAAAAAGGGGGACGAAGGCCATTCTAGAGAATGCAAAGGCGGGAGGCCTAGGGCCGTCAACTCTGTCTGTCATTGTTGGTCAGAGGTCCTTCCTGATTGACCTGGTGAAAAAGGAGGCGCAGAAATACTTCCGGGACTTTCTTGGCCATTTACAAATACATATGGATCCACGCACATCTTGCACCTCAGCATACGAATTTTGCTCGGTTTTTGGTTGTACGAATTTTGTGAGATAGAAATATTTTACGCAACTCCGCAAGATTTGTATCGTCGAGATTTTACTGCAGCCGTAAGACCTGTGTTTTTGGGGTGGACTCGGCTAGACTCGACTCTGCTATCCGGGACGCCCTCGCCAACCCCAACAAGCGTAACGGTAGACGTGGAAGACGGGGCGGTCAGTGCCACTTCTTAACAAGGCGTGCCTCACCCGCTCTCCTTGCAGGCCACCCCGCGGCCACCTTCGGGCGCCAGGGGGCCCTGAGCTGGACCAAGCTGGGGGTGTCCCCCGACCGGTGGGCGTCCCTCAACGGGTCGCTGGACGTGAGCCTGTTTGTGCGCACCCGCAAGGACCGGGGCCTGCTCTTCTACCTGGGCTCGGACCCCCAGGGCTCGGACGGGGGCTTCCTGGCCGCCCTGCTGCACGGGGGGCGCCTGCGGGTGGCCCTGCACCTGGGGGGCGAGGACCGCACCCTGCAGGTGCCCGGGGGACCCTTGGACGATGGGAGGCTACACTTCGTCCAGGTATGTTATGGGCTCTTCCCACCCCTGGAAAGGGCCCCTATTGTTAATTTTGTAGTTGTTGTAGTTGATTGTTGTCGTTGAGATTGTAGGGTGTCCGTCGTCAATGTTGCCATATTCTTCAAAAAGATTGTATGCTGCCCACGGGAACCGAACTTGGGTTTGCTGCGTCTGAAACAGAGGCATTGCCTCGGTGCTACGCCGCAGCTTTAACAACCCGCTCTGTACTTGGGGTCTTTGTTGTACTCGATGCCCACCGCGCATGCTCTCTGGAAAAAAAAAATGGCCGATAACAAAATGCCGGCGTAGCACCGTCACTTCCAAGAGCTCGTGCCGGGAAACGCGCTTTCACGCGTCCCAGAACAAAAAAAGAAAGCGTTTGGGACAAAATGGTCCGATGTTTCTTTGGTTCCGAACGCTTTTGTTCACGCACCTCGCAGTTCATGAACGCGACACCAATGCCCGACGACTTTTCCGTGACATGTCGCAGCTGTCGCTGGGACTGCAGTGGATTAACAGGGGACCGCTCAATTTTCTGCCGCGTTCGTTTAGTGGGTTGTGCGGACGCTTAATGGGCCAGCTTACCAAGCTCGAGCAATGAGTGCTATGCTTTATGAAGATCGGTTTTGTTTCAACCTCTGACTTGTCAGAAGCTTGCAAAACCGACATACCTGTCACCACACGCGTGCAGCACATCCGGTAGTGCTCATTTGGCTGCTGCGGTGAGCTGCCCGTCTTTTTTCTCCTCACGGCAGCGATTCAAGCCTCTCTTCTCGTGGGATACAGCTTGGCTGACGGAAATCTAAAAAACATGGCATTACATTTCCCATAAAAAAAATTTATGCTGCCATATGCAGCATGGTGCGGTGGCATTATAATAAGAATAGGCATGAGCGAATAATGGATCTTGAGTTCAAAACGAATTCAAAAACAAATAGTAGTCCTGGCCGAATATTACTGAATCGGATAGTTTCTCTGAGCCTTTCACTATTGCACCATGCCTAAACAAAAACCCAGCTAAACTCATGAAGGTTGTTTCCAAACTTCCTCTTGTACATTTCTAAACTACCGTAATATCCCGAGTCATCGCCCACCCCCCAACCGCCTGAAATTCGTTAAAAAAGTGGGGTGGGCCATGTCTCGGTGGGTGAGCACAAACACTTAAAAAAAATGGAAAAAACGCCTATTTTTCTCTGCGTATCTAGCGCTGATGCACAAGAGGTACATCAAACTCAAAACTCGATTTAGTTTCATTGTTTTATAGAAAAAAAATGCTCAAGAAAGAATATTTTACTATAGCGAAGTCCGTTGCTTGCATACGCGCTAGAAACACCGCCGATCTGCATATAGCACGAACGCTTGTTCCGTGAAAGAATGTCACCATTATGTTCTCCTAGTTAGTAAAAAAAAAAAAAAGAAAGAAAAGTCTACAAGAAAATAGAAAAACCGACCAGGCGCAAAGAGCGAGCGAGCGAGCGAGCGGACCAAAGAAGCGACCAAGAGCAATGCTGGGAAAGCGGGAAAGCCGGCGGTCGCGTTGGCAAATACTTTGGCGTCGGGCCAAGTCGGGCGCCTTGTCAATTGCAAGCTCTTACGCAACTTTCTTGTTTGGTGCGTAGATACGTGCATCCGTGCACGGCGGGCTATCAATGCACGGTTGGGACGTACGCTCTGCAAACGTCTGTGTAGGACGTTCCAGCAAAGCTTTATTTACGCTTTGGCTTTGCCTAAAATATTGCACAACAGCGGTCGCGACGGGCGGGAAGAAAGGAGCGGGTTCGCGGTGACCTTACTTCGGCGGAGACAGACTTTGACCTAACACTCCGCGGTTACGTTAACAAACTCCTATTTTGTTATCTCCATCGTTTTCTTTTCGCACGGATACACGACCACTTTGGGGTCGCTCTTTCCCTCCTTCGTTTTACTTTGTCACGGACGTCCTCCAACTGTAAGGTCCGCGGCCACGTCATTCGGGTAGGATGAGTGTTCGCGGATTGCAGAGTCCGCGCTGGGGTATTTGAAGGGGTGGGCGATGACTCGGTGTTTTTTCGGAAATCGATATTGGCCCAAAAAATGGGGTGGGCGATGGCTCGGGGATGGGCGATGACTCGGGATATTACGGTAAGTTAATTTTAATCTAAATTTATGGACTGTGAACTCAGAAAGTCTAAAGCCTACATGGGATAGCAAGCAAACAACACATTTGACATACAGTTAAACATATATAAATGTTCAGCTATACATAGTCAAGAGGATTTATAATTCTTGCTTTATGCAAAGTTCCTATCTAAAATCTAGAATTTGAGAAAAAGAGAGACAGTCATGAGGTATAAACACCGGTTATGAGGACATCTCTGCCTAACATATAGTACTCATGCATAATAGTCACAGTTTAATTTTTAAAATCTTAGTGTAGTGTAGGTATCAACATTCACTAAATTGATGTTTCTTTTTAAATACACAAGGCGTGTGCGTGCACCACCCCACTTTGGAAGTGTGCTTTCCTCCTGATCACGCAACTGCAATTTTTGGACTTTTCGAAGTGCGGCGGTTTAGCTTCATTGATTCTGGTCAAAAGGCAACTCCGATCCATATTTTTGAATTTGGGATTATGACTGTTTTCAGCTAAAGCAGTGTCCCTGAATTACAAGGTATAACTTTTTTTCTCTATTGTGCGTAGTTTTATAAATATCACGGCTTAAAGTTTGGTTTCGGGCGTCTACGACAAAACTGAAACTATCTGTTAGAGGGATGGCAACATTGATCATCAGCCTTACGATCGCGACGTGACGTCGCAAGATTTCTGCGGTATATGGTACAACCAATCAACCGCAGCTCCACCGCGACGTGACGTCACAAGGGTGCTGCGCCAGTGTTTCTTGACTAAAAGTTAACCCACTTGCCGCCCGCTAAAGTGCAGCTGGTTGCATCTTGAAAATTGGTTTTAGTGGAATATGCGGCTTCACCTTGACATAATATTTCAGCTGTAATCATATTTTGTGCCACTAAAGCAATATTAGTTATTTATTTTGGTTTCGTTTTCGCCCGGTGTTGCCCTTTAAAGAGTGCACAAAGGACGAGGACAAAGTAGAGAACAAACATGACAGGCAAGAACTCACTCGCAACTAGCAGTTGAATCAAAGTTCGGAGGCCCTTCTATAGCCCCGGTGGATGCACTTCTTACTGAGCACAGGTGCACTGCCAAAAAATAACACCCGCGGAAGCAAGCTCTGCGGGTGTTGCTTCTCCGCACTGCACCGGTGCTTGGTAAAAAGCATGCTCAACGGGACTAAATTGCCGCGATCAACACTTAAAAAAATATGAAAATCACAGTTTATCTTGAAACGAATATTGAATGGCATATAATTCAAAATTACTATTAAAAAATTATCTGAATATTTACACAATCTTAAATATTAATAATAATTATAATATATCCAAGATGGAGACAAAAAGAAGAAAAATATATCCAAGATGGAGACAAGGAAGATCGTGCATGGAAACTGCTCCGAAAAAATTGCTGGTAAGCGTCAATTCCTCGCGTGTTTGGGTGGATGCAAGGCGAAATTCCACTGCGATTGTATTAGAGTAGGCCTTGAGGAGTATAACATTTTCATGGCCTCAGAAAAAAGCTCGTACAAATGCAACGCCTGCACCCGGCGGAATCGCAGTGACGATAAGCCTAATCGTGAAGAAACGTCAGACGTGTCGGGGTCTGAAACGGACAGCGAATCAGCCAGTGAAACCACCCTGAAGTTAAACACCTCATGCTCGCCGAAGTACCAGGAATCTTTACTGGAAAAGATAAACGTCAAGTTAGACGTGCTTATCATCGAAATGAAATGCCTAAGAGCGGATAATAACCATCTACATTCCGAAGTCACCGAGTTACGGAAGCGACTTTCCAAGCTAGGGCCTGACCTGAATCAGCCGAGCCTGAGCTACAGCGCTGCCGCATCATCGGGACGGAATCAGGTCGCACACAAAACAACGAATTTGAGATCGAAGGGGGAAGGCCCAACACGGGACATCGCCAGCATGGATCCCGTGTCGACGAAGCAAAGTTCTGACGGCAAAGGAAACGACGAAGACCGTGCCACGTGTAGTGCGAACTATCTTCAACAGACTTCTATGCCATTTGTGACCGACGACGAAGGCTACACTACAGTGGGACCAAGACGACGAAAGAAGCCTTCAGTCGGAACATCGAAATCATCCAAGGTGACCATTGTGCCTCGTCTTCCTTTTCAAAAGGCGTTGTTTGCTACTAGATTTGGCTTCGAGACAACAGTTGAGGATGTTAATTCGCTTCTTGAACCTGTCCTACGGGGGAAAACTGTTAGCTGCACGAAGCTGAAAACAAGATTTCCCTCCTACTCTTCTTTTCATGTTTCGGTCGAACAAGACCTTTTTGAAACCATTAATAACCCAGACATTTGGCCCGAGGGGTGTATCTTTCACCAGTTTTTTGGAAAGCTTGATATGACGCGAACGTCACTACCAGATAGTACTGATGACTAAACAACAGATTAAGTGCTATTATCAGAACACTCGCGGTTTGAGGACGAAAGCGGATGACTGTATGTCAACTGTTGTTTCCACTAATTTTGACATGTTCTGTTTAACTGAAACTTAGCTATTGAAAGAAATTTCCAGCACCAGTTACTTTCCAACATCATACAGTGTTTATCGAAAGGACAGGGATTACGGTGCAACTGGGAAGAAATTTGGCAGGGGGGTGTTGACAGCCGTGCGGGATAACATTAAATCATGCAGAAGGGTAGATTTGGAAACTTATGCAGAGTGCGTATGGGTTGAATTATTAACACGCGATGGGTTTAATTACCTCGTCGGAAACTGTTATTTTCCTCCACTCTCGGATTCGAGTGTGTTTCTTAAATTATTTACAAAAGCTTGAACAGCAAATTGATTTTTCGAAATTTAAAGTACATATGTACGGCGATTTTAATCTACCAGGAGTGAACTGGTCGACGGCATAAGCA